TCAGGCCTGCTCCCTGCTGGGCTCTCTGACCTCCCCTCTCAGCCTGCCCTTGGGACTTGGTCAGAGTGGCCTTTGGCCCAATTAGGGCAGAGGTGACACGTGGTGTTTCTTTTTCAAGGGTTGCGTTTGCGTTTTTGGGTTTTTTAGATCCTCAAAGTGGGTTTCTTCACATTAAGATATTTTCCAGATGTCTTTTTTTTTTTTTTTTGGCTCTGTCCCCACGGAGGGAAGAAAGCCGCCCAGGCCAGAGAGGCCACCGGCACCCCAGCTCCCGCCTCCCCGCTGTGAGCTGACAGCCGGCGGCCAGGCGCTGGAAGGCTGGGTGAGGGCGGGTGGTTTCCGTGGAAGAGCTGGTCTCGCTTCTTCACGGTCTAACCGACCCACCCAGCCAGGCCTGCACGTCGGCCCTGCCTCCGGTGGACAGGCCTGTCCCCGGGTTGTCCCCTCTCCCTAAACCACGTGACTCCCTGTGCGGGTCCAGAGACGAGGCCTTCTGGGCACATGGGAAGCCATTGCGATTTTTTAAAAAATGTTTTTATTGATCTTTTGAGAGAGAGGAAGGGAGACGGATCGATAGAAGCATCCATGAGAGGGGAACATCCTAGATCAGCTGCCCCTGCACGCCCCCCACTGAGGATGGAGCCCACAGCCCGGGCCTGTGCCCTGATTGGGAACCGAACCCTGACCTCCTGGTTCCCAGGCCCACGCCTAACCACTGAGCACACGGGCCAGGCTGCTCTCTGCCTTTTACAAAGACGCTGTGACGATCTCTAAGACTGTGTGACTTGAGAGCCTCCATTCATTAGAGCTGGGAGGGGTGACATTGTCTCGGGGGACAGGGACCATCCAGGGGCCACCGGAAGCGTGCTCTCGCTGACGGCGGCAAATGCTCGCACTCGTACCGTTGGCTTTGACTCGGGAGGCAGCAGGAGCGTAGCGGGTTCAGGCCCTGCCCTTTCTCGCCGCGAATAGTAATTGTGCACGGCGTCACCCGGGGGGCGGCCGAGGGTGGGGGCGCAGTGACTGGCTGTGTCCAGCCACCTGTCCATGCTGCCGCCCCGTCTCTCGTCGCCTGAATACCCGGGTGGGGCAGCTGGAGCGCATCTGCCCCGCGGGGTGGAGGGGGCGGGGAAATATTTTTGGTGCCGGAAAAAATCCGCTCCCTCCTCGGATCGCAATGCCCGCTCCTGGGAGTCCTGTCCTGCTCGAAAGACGTGGCCCAGCTCACATTCCGAATTCTGCGCGTCCCATTTGCTCGCATGCAGGCATTCCGAGCAGCTGGTCGTCGGCAGGCGCTCACTGAATAGCTCACAGATCCTGCCAGAGAAAACCAGCGCTTAAAAATGCCTGCTCCGCTCTGGCCAGTGTGGCTCAGTGGGTGGAGTGCCGTCGGCCTGCGGACGGAAGGGTCCCAGGTTCAATTCCGGTCAAGGGCACCTGCCGGGGTGGCGGGCTCCATCCCCACTAGGGGACATGCAGGAGGCAGCCGATCCACGATTCTCTCTTGTCATTGATGTTTTTCTCTCTCTCTCTCTCTCCCTCTCCCGTCCTTTCTGAAATCAACAAAAATATATTTAAAAAGAAAAGAAAAGAAAAAGCAAGTCTGGGGCCAGGGCCGAGGAGAGGAGGCCGGGCCTCCCCTGAGCGCGGCCCTGAGCGCCCGCACCTCCCACCCGCCCGTGTGTGCTCGGCGCGATAATGAGATGCCGGAATGCCGGGCGCTTCAAGTGCTGCTTTAACAAGTGTTGTCATAACAACAGGGATGAAATGACGAATGTAACTCGGGTTGGAAAGAACAGCCTGCCGTTACCTCCCCGGGGCCAGGCCTCCGGCACCTCCCAGCCCAGCGAGGGCCGGCCCCACGCACGCCATCGGTCCGTGTGCTGGCTGTATTGTCTTTTCTTTTAGAAAAATATATTTTATTGATTTTTTTACAGAAAGGAAGGGAGAGGGATAGAGAGCTAGAAATATCCATCCGCTGCCTCCTGCACACCCCTTAATGGGGATGTGCCCGCAACCAAGGTACATGCCCTTGACTGGAATCGAGCCTGGGACCCTTCAGTCCGCAGGCCGACGCTCTATCCACTGAGCCAAACCAGTTAGGGCTGTATTTTCTTTTTTAAAATATTTTTTATTGATTTCAGAGAGAGAAACCTCAATGATGAGAATGATTAATCAGCTGCCTCCTGCACGCCCCCCACTGGGGATCGAGCCCGCCACCCGGGCCTGTGCCCTGGCCAGGAATCAAACCCTGACCTCCTGGTTCAGAGGTCGACGCTCAACCACTGAGCCACGCAGGCCGGGCTGAGCTGTATTTTCCTGCTTGTTTGGGGGGCCAGGGATCAATGGGCCGACCGTAGGAAATACGTATTCGTTCGATCCGATCGGGAGGCTGTGTCAGAATAGCTTTCAGATAACGCCCTCTCCTCCCTCTGAGGCTTTATAGATAAGTCCCGATTCCCTGTTCTACTGCCTCCCGTGCCCGTCAGCGAACTCGGTGTCAGGCACACGTGCCGGGCAAGGGAACAAGTACATCACACCCTCCTAGACCCTCTCGGTGCCTCCAGGATTTCCAAAGATGGAGCTCAGTTCTAACGGCGACGGCGACAATAAAAACATCTGAGCTCGTCAGCCTGGTGGCTCCCAGCGAAGATGTCGGTGCCCGGCTGACGCTGTTCGTTAGCAAAGAGGCGGCCATCGCCACGCTTGGGAGGACAGCTGCCGGCGGGAACGCCTGGGGATCGGGAGCGCCAGGCGGGCCGTTCCCGCCACACCCGAGCCTTGGCTTTGAATCTGGCATCCGACAAGGGGGGTGGTGGTGGGCGCAGGTTGCTCTCAGCAGCATCCGCGAAGCTGTGAGGCCCACGCTCCCAAGAAGTGCTCCCCTCTGATGCTCACGGGCTCGGGGGGTTTCACATAAACGCATGCAGACCCTGGGCAGGTCGGCTTATTGCCCGCAGCACCCACCTCCGCGGGGGCGCAGGGGGCTCGGAGCAGCCGGGACAGCTGGTCCTGCTCCCGTGTGCACGTCGTTCCCGGGGAGGTCGAAGCGTGTTCCGACTTCACAGTCTAAGATGAGTCATGACAGCGTCACTCAAACGCTGGGCTCCTTGCTAGACAGAAGTGAGTTTTGGGTCCTGAGGCCCCTCCCCTCCAGTCATCCCGAGGCCGCACTCTGCCCTGCGTTTGTTTAACCCACCGAATGCCGGGGCGGGTGTCAATCACCCGGCGGCTCCTACGTGGGCCGTCCCAGTGAGTGGACGCCACTCATATCTCTTCTCAAGGCCTCCAGGGACTCCGCCAGCCCCTTTTTAAAAAAATACATTTTTGTTGATGTCAGAGAGGAAGGGAGAGGGAGAGAGATAGAAACATCAGTAATCATAGATCAGCTGTGTCCTGCACGCCCTCCACTGGGGATCAAGCCCGCATCCTGGGCCTGGGCCCTGACCGGGAATCGAACTTGTGACCTCTGGGTGCACAGGATGCCGCTCAACCACTGAGCCACACTGGCCGGGGCTGGCTGTGGAGCTTTTCATTTTTGCCTACGTGTCACCCAGCAACCTGCCAGCTCCCCGCTGGCTACTGCCTTATCTCGGACGGTTGGCCCCAGTCCAGCTGGTGGGGGCAGGGACAGGAAGGGATTGACCAGGGAACTTGTATGCATATGTGCGTAGCCCATGGACACAGACAATAGTGCGGTGAAGGCCTGGAGGGCGGGGGCTGGGTGGAAGGGTGCAAAGAGAAGGAGAGTGGGGGGCATCTGTACACTGTCAACAATAGAACATAGCCACAGCTGGTGTGGCTCGGTGGGTAGAGAGTCGGCCCGCGGTCTGAAGGGCTCTGGGTTCGATTCCAGTCAAGGGCATGTACCTCGGTTGCAGGTTCCCTGGCCCTGGTCAAGGCGTGTGCAGGAGGCAACCAATGATGTCTCTCTCACATGGATGTTTCTCTCTCTCCCCCTCTCCCTCCTCTCGCTCTAAATATCAGTAAAAACATAGTAAAAAAACAAGGACCCTCCCGGGAGGAAGGGGAGCCCGTGTGTAAGCCCGCTCCTCTCTGAAGGCCCGGGTGCTGGGCCCTGCGACCTCGGGTTTTGAAAGCGAGGCAGGATGGGGCTGAGCACGGGCGTGGCCTCCTGGGTTTTTGCTGCTGTTGGATGGAGGTAAACATCGTGAAGTTTTTGTGGGTTTTGTGTGTGTGTGTGTGTGTGTGTGTAATTTAAAATTTATTTTGAAAAATAAGCTTTAAAAACAAGAGTCAGAAAACATCCGTGGTTGGCTGGGACTAGGAGTCCCTCCAAGGGGGTGCATGGGAATGTTCGGGGTGATGGGACTGCCTGCCCGTGCTGACACAGCCGACAGACTGAATAACTCAGTTTAAAAAAATACACATATTTTATTGATTTCAGAGAGGAAGGGAGAGAGGGAGAGAGATGGAAACATCCATGAGGAGAGAGAGTCATGGATCGGCTGCCTCCTGCACGCCCCACACTGGGCATCGAGCCCGCAACCCCGGCCTGCGCCCCAACCGGGAATCCAACCGTGATCTCCTGGTTCATAGGTCAATGCTCAACCAGCATAACTCAATTTTTTAAAAAAAGGATTAAAAGGATAAGAACCAAAAATGTACCCGATGTGAAAAAATACAGAGCTTACGGCTTTCCCTTGGGGAGAGTAAGAAGTTACTGGGGTGTAGAGAAAGGAACCGTAAAGGAGGCTGATTTTGAAGGCGTGGTTGAACCTTGTTTAAAATATATATCTCCCTGCGGAGACCTACCCTGATGATTGTGCGGCGTTTGTTTTTGCTGCTGTCCCGGGAGGCCGGCTTTGTGTCTCCGCACTTGAGAGCCACCCTCTGGCTCAGGGCGAACTGGGGAGGCGGGGTCCCGGCCCCCAGGGCTCCTGACTCACGGCCTGACCCCGTGGCACCTGCCTCGCTGCTGACACGCGTAGGGTTGTCTGTCTGAACCTGCCTGACAGCCGCCATCTCCCGCCTTCCAGGGCTGCCGGCCAGACTCCCCGAGATCATGCTGGTGGGAGCCCAGTCCTTCTCGCCCGGAGGGCCCAATGGCATCATTCGGAGCCAGTCGTTCGCGGGGTTCAGCGGCCTGCAGGAGCGGCGGTCCAGGCAAGTCCGCGGGGCTCCCCCTGGGATGCGGCTGAGGAGGAGCTGAGCTTCGGTGCTGTGCAGAGCATCTGTGTGCACGCAGCCTCGTCAGCGTGCATGCGAGCACACACACACACACACACACACACACACACACACGCACACACGTCTTACTTTCATCTCTGCCTTGGAAAATATGTCAGCCACCCCGATGAAGCGCTGTTGTTTCTTTTCTTTTTAAAAAAATATTTTTAATTGATTTCAGAGAGGAAGGGAGAGAGAGAGAGAGATATCAATGGTGAAAATCATGGATCTGCTGCCTCCTGCATGTCCCCTACTGGGGATGAAACCCGAAACCCGGGCGTGTGCCCCGACCGGGAATCGAACTGTGACCTCCCGGTTCGTAGGTGGACGCTCAGCCCCTGAGCCCCGCCAGCGGGCTGTGACGTTTCTTTTCTATCACTCAGCATTTCTCCTGCAGACGGGGTGGTGAGCTGTAGGAAAAGGATAGCTCTCCACCCCACCCCACCCTACTCCCACCCCACCCGTTTTTAGGTCTTTTGAGAAATATCACTCAAGAGCTTCCAATGTTTGAACCTGTTTGTCCTCTCCGAGCGACAACAGATTCGCCTTTGCCCAGGCATTCGCCGTTACGGAGCATTTTCTAGGATCTCTTCCAGTTTTTATGTCATCCCCACTGAGGGCTGATGTCCTTTCATGAGGGTTCCTTCCCTTTTTTTTTTATTTACTTTGGGGAATACCTAGGTCATACATGTGCCTGTTTGCGGTGGATATTTGCACGTTTTCGTACAAAACAAGAAGACTTGTAATTTATCCACTGCAACGTCGTACGTTGTCCTTTCTCACTAGTTCGATTTGCTACCCTTTTTTTTCCTTTTTCACCTTTTTGACCCCCTTCGCCTACTGAGCTCTCCACCCACCGCCGCCTCGGGCAACCACCAAGCTGCTGTCTGTCTCTCTCAGCTTGGTGTGTGTGTGTGTGTGGTGTGTGTGTGGTGTGTGTGTGGTGTGTGTGTGTGTGTGGTGTGTGTGTGTGTGTGTGTGGTGTGTGTGTGGTGTGTGTGTGTGTGTGGTGTGTGTGTGGTGTGTGCGGTGTGTGCGGTGTGTGCGGTGTGTGGTGTGTGTGTGTGGTGTGTGTGTGTGTGGTGTGTGTGTGTGTGTGTGTGTGTGTGTGTGTGTGTGTGTGTGTGTGTGTGTGTGTGTGTGTGTGTGTGTGTGTGTGTGGTGTGTGTGTGTGTGGTGTGTGTGAGTGTGTGAGTGAGTGTGTGTGTGTGTGGTGTGTGTGGTGTGTGTGGTGTGTGTGTGTGGTATGTGTGGTGTGTGTGGTGTGTGTGGTGTGTGTATGTGTGTGTGTGAGTGTGTGTGTGTGGTGTGTGTGTGTGTGTGTGTGTAAATCACAATGTAAGTGAAATCATAGGCATTTGTCTTTCCCTGTCTGACTTCTCTCAGCATTATACTCTCTAGGTCCATCCATATTGTCGCAAAGGGCAAGATTCCACTCTGTTTTATGGTTGAATAACCTTCCGTTGTCTGCATGCCCATCACAGTGTCTTCATTCATTCATTCACCTGTGGGCGCTTGGGTTGTTTCCACATCGTGGGCTGCAGGGAACACGGGGTGTGTAAATCATTGTGAGTTAGTGTTTTTGTTTCCTTTGGAGAAATACCCAGATGTGGAAATTGCTGGATCCTGGCTGCCTCCCTGCCACTCACAGAGACGTTGGACTTTATGTTAAACCCAAACCTAACGCACTCCGTGAAAACAGAGCTTAAGAAAAACCCATCAGTCCAGCCCTGTGTGCTGAGCTCTAACACTACACAGCATTAGCCATTTGTCCTGCCTATGGCTCTTGATCACAAAGGCAGTCATTCACACCCTAGTCTAATTTAGCAGATGTTTATGCCTGACGTTGCTGATGCACGTTTTGTTTTTTTTAAGTCGGTGTGTGTCCTTCTGCCTGTTTCTTATTTCCACGTGGGAGCATGTGTCCTTGGCTTCCTGTGGGGTCCCAGCAACATCATACATCGTCACTCGGAGTGCTGTCACCTGACCGGAGGAAAGCGCGGCCCAGCAACGCTTCCAGATTTCAGCAGTCACATCTGCCACCGAGAAACGCAGTGTGTGCTGGCTCAGCGGTGTCCTTCCACCGGGAACGGTGCCTTCCCCCGCAGACACAGACACAGACACAGACCCGAGATGACTGAGAGGCCTTTTCTCCGTGGGATTCTTTTGGGCGCCGGAGCCACAATGTCTGCCCTTTCTTCTTTCACAGGTGTAACTCCTTCATTGAGAATGCTTCTGCTCTCAAGAAGCCTCAAGCCAAACTGAAGAAGATGCATAACTTAGGGCACAAGAACAGCAGCCCCCCCAAGGAGCCGCAGCCCGCCAGGGTGGAGGAGGTCTACCGGGCTCTGAAAGGCGGACTCGAGTAAGAGCGCCAGCCTCGCCGGGAGCCGGCCCTTTCTCGTTCCTAAAGGCTGGGGGGTGGGGGCCAGAGGAAAAACGAGTCTTGCGAGATCATTTTAAAATGTCCGTTTCTGTAGTAGATATCTTATTCTTCTTTTTGAAAAAAATACATTTTTACTGATTTCAGAGAGGAAGGGAGAGGGAGAGAGAGAGAGAAGCATCAGTGATGAGAGAGAATCATGGATCAGCTGCCTCCTGCATACCCCACACTGGGGATGGAGCCCGCAACCCAGGCTTGTGCTCTGACTAGGAATTGAACCTGGTTCATAGGTCAACGCTCAACCCCTGAGCCACGCTGGCCGGCGTATTTTATTCTTGCACCGTCATCGAGGAAGCCTTAGGTTAATCCCAAAGGTGGGACATTTGTTGGGTTCGAGGTGATGCCCATGACAGTGAGGAATGTGCAGTAGCCACGTGTTTAACTGGCCCCGGGGAGTACTGGCTTCCGTGTAGCACTGTGCACAGGCAGGCCTGTTTCAGCGCTTGCTGAAGACGGTTCTGGAACCTTCCCGGCTACATTCTCGGCCTCGTTTGCCCAGAACACACCTGAGCGACTGGGGAGCTGCAGCCCCTCGTCCCCCGCTGCCCGCAGAGCGAGCCCCGGCCCTGCCCCGCGGAGGGAGGCCAGCAGCCCCGGCCCGTCCGCAGCGGCGGCCGCGAGTTCACAGCGGCGCGTCCTCTTGTGTTCGCAGCGAGTACCTGGAGGTCCACCAGTCGGAGCTGGACAAGCTGACGGCGCAGCTGAAGGACATGAGGAGGAACTCCCGCCTGGTAGGTGCCCGCGTCCCGGGTGCTGACTCGCGGGGTGTTTGTTTGTTTTAGTTTGTGTGTTTTTTGCAGGTTTGTTGTTTTTTGGGTTGGTTTGTTTGTTGTTGTTTCCTGTTTGTTTGTTTGTTTGTTTGTTTTTGGCTAAGTGTCTTCTCCTACTGGATGGAGGTGGATACAAAGAAGAACCTTCCAGAAAAGCGGACCCACCCTGGCCAGTTGGCTCAGTGGTTAGAGCGTCAGCCTGCAGACTGAAGGGTCACGGGTTCGATTCTGGTCAAGGGCGTGAACCTCGGTTGCAGGCTCCGGTCGGGATACGTGCGGGAGGCAATCAATGGGTGTGTCTCTCTCTGTCTCGCCCCCTCCCTTCCGCTCTCTCTAAAAACAATCAGTGGAAAAGTATCCTCGGGTGAGGATTAACAAAAACAAAAAGTACTCTTGCTGGTCTTTAAAATAACCCAGATTTGTCCTCTTTTAAAGCAAATGTCAGAAAACCCAACAGAACCTACGGCTGGTCATTGTCTCCCTGACAATGCAGGCACGCAGACCCATCCCTCTGTTAATGTCAGTAGCAGTCTTGCAGAAGGCACGTTTTAATTATTTTCATTTTTCATTTCAGGGTGTGCTGTATGACCTGGACAAGGTAAGTGACCGTTCTGCGCTGGGGGGGACATAAACCCGAGGTCCCCTCTGAGGGACAGCAGGAGCCCAGAGAGCGGCGACTTTTCTAAGCCCAGAAAACCCGTGCCTTTACCTCTGAGTTTGATGCCGCGCTCTCCAGACCCAGTGATACTTTCATGGAAACGCCACTGGCTGTGGGCGTCTCAGTGCTGAGAAGTTTAAGAGGTTCCCAAGCGTTGGGAGGCCCTGCCCCGCCTTCGGTATAAATACCAGCCACCACCTCTCCCCAAATCAGAGAGGCCTCTGGTCGGAAAACGCACCGTTACCTTCTGCTCCGCCAGAAAGAACCGCGATCGAAGTGGCGCTGTGACACTGAGAGCTGGTGTTCTGCCCCCAGTGACAGGACCCCTCGACGCCCATTTTCAGTGTGGGTCGTTTTAGTCCACGCGCTGCTCTCTCCATGCCTGTGTGCGGCGCCCTTCGCCTGAATCCCGGTGGGATCGGCTCGCGGACATCTGAGGGGTGGTGAGAGGCAGCACGCGCAATAGTATCTGTAACGGACGAGAGGCGGCCCGTGACCCGCGCGACCCCGTCTGACACGCACAGGCGTAGCGATCGACGACGCACCTCAAGTTCAGAGACACGGAGTGGGGAGCGAAGGGCGTCCCTCTCCGAGCTGATAAAACGTGCCCGTTGTTGGGGGCACTCGGGTCTGTTCCAAGGTGCTGCCGTCCCCACAGAAACCCAGTGAGGCCGTTGATGGCCGCCCGGACGCGAATCACGGAGTCCAGAGGCCGGGCAGCCCATTTCTCAGCGTGTTTATCCAGGGTAGACGTTTACATGCCCTGCAGATTCATGCTGGAGACTCTAAGCTAGCAGACAGGAGAGGAGGACGGCGAGCACTGCGCGGGCCTCCCGAGGACGAGAGGGGAGGGGTGGCCGGTCGCAGGCCCGGACCGTCTGCGCTGTGATGACTGTCCTCGCTCACGCGTCTCCCTTTCCTTCCAGCAAATTAAAACGATCGAACGGTACATGCGGCGCCTGGAGTTTCACATCAGCAAGGTAACTGCCGCCCCTGCCTTTGCCTGGTTGTCGGTTCCTGGTCAGCCCACCTTTGGCCTGAGCGTGGCCGGTAGTTCAGGGAGGATTTCTTTATTATTACTGTTGTGGTTGTTATTATTACTGATTTCAGAGAGGAAGGGAGAGGGAGAGAGAGACACATCCATGATGAGTGAGAATCATGGATCGGCTGCCTCCTGCACGCCCCGCACTGGGGATCAGCCCACAGCCTGGGCACGTGCCCTGCCCGGGAATCGAACCGTGACCTCCTGCTTCAGAGGTTGACGCTCAGCCCCTGAGCCCCGCGGCCGGCTGGTCCCAGCATCCTTTCCTTTCACAGCCCGTGACGGGCTCACACGGGGCTGCCACTCCCCTGCAGCTCCCACTCATGACCCCGCGACCGGGCAGATCCGAACGCTCCCCCTCTGCGAAGTCCGCTCCGTAGAACAGTGACGCCCATGAGGTGTTGGTGGGGCCGGCGAGCTCGGACAGGTTGCTCTGTTTAGTTTGAAAAACAGCAAGAAGGCGGCTCCGGACGAGGCAGGCGGTGTTTCTCCGTCTGCCCGTCCAGTGGGTCCCGCGGTCTCGGGGGCCGGAAGTGCTGTGGGCGGCAGGTCCCTGCAGGCTGCCAGCAGGCCCATCTCACGGCGTGAGGCAGCTAATCCGCTCACCTGCTGAGGCACCGCTTGGCTCCCAGACGCACGCAGAGCCACCTTCCTCCTGGATCGTGACTCCGTCTGGCTCAGAGGCTGACACGGAACGACAGCAGAGAACAAACTTCCCTCTAAATCAGCGGTTCTCAACCTGTGGGTCGCGACCTCTTTGGCGGTCGAACGACCCTTTCACAGGGGTCGCCTCAGACCATCCTGCAGATCAGATATTTACATGACGATTCATCACAGTAGCAACATGACAGTTATGAAGGAGCAACGAAAATAATTGTATGGTTGGGCCACAACATGAGGAACTGTATTTAAAGGGCCAGAAGGTTGAGAACCACGGCCCTAAATGCAAAGGAACAGACTGAGCCTCTCGGGCTAACGCAGGGGCCAGGCGAGCGGGTTACGGTCATAGAGACACCGGTGGGGACAAGGGTCGAGGGGCGTGTCCGGAGACGCAGGGGGACGCGCCCAGCTGGCAGCGATGGCGGCGCCGTGCGCGTGTTCCTGCATGTTGATGGCGCACGTCCCGCGTCAGAACGCTCGGGCCAGTCATTTGAAAGTTCAGATCCCGGCCCAGCCCTGACCCAGTGAACCCACATCTCAGAACCCGCAGGCCGGGGCCTGGGCTCCCGCATTCACCCAGCTCACCAGGTGTCTCCGCTCCGTTTCAAAGTGCGGCCACCGCCCTCCATGCCAGTCGCCAGCCCAGAGATGCCGACAGCAGACTGGCCGCCCCCAGGCCTTGCCCCCTCTTTCTTTTTGTTTTAATCCCCACCCGAGGGTGTTTTTCATTGACTCTAAAGCAGTGGTTCTCAACCTTCCTAACGCCGCGACCCTTTAACAGTTCTTCATGCTGTGGGGACCCCCAATTTCATTGTTACACGTTGAACATAATGAAAGCATGCTGATTAATCACAAAAACAGTATGTAATTATATATGTGTTTTCCGATGGTCTCAGGCGACCCCTGTGAAAGGGTCGTTCGACCCCCAAAGGGGTCGTGACCCACAGGCTGAGAACCGCTGCCCTAAAGAGAAAAGGAGAGACATTGATGAGAGAGACATCGATTGGCTGCCTCCTGTAGGCGCCCCAACTGGGGATCAAACCCACAACCTGGGCATGTGCCCTCACCGGGGATCGAACCCACAAACTTTTGGTGCACAGGACGACACTCCAACTCACAGAGCCACGCCCCAGGGCCAGGCCCCCCCAATCACGACCCATCGGCCCCCAGAGCGAGAGACGGTCTGCTCCCCGAGTGGGGCAGCTCCTCTTCGCAGTGGCTGTTGGCCTGAGGGCAGCGTCTCCGGTGGTTGTGGAGCCAAGAATTCACAAACACCCTTCGCAGTAAGAAGCCCCGAGTTCCCCTTCAACAATAAGCTCAGCCTGGGTGTGTGGCTGTCACCCGTGACGCTCGCTTAAAGTAAAATGACGATGGCACCTACAAGTCTTCACCTTGCCCGGCGCGGGGCTCAGGGGCTCAGGGGCTGAGCGTCAACCTAGGAACCAGGAGGTCACTGTTCCATTCCTGGCCAAGACACAGGCACGGGTGCGGCTCCATCCCCAGTGAGGGGCGTGCAGGAGGCAGCCCTCCTTGATTCTCTCTCATCATTGATGTTTCTCTCTCTCCCTCTCCCTTCTTCTCTGAAATCAATAAAATATATATATACATTTTTTAAAAAACGACAAAGTCTTCACCTCAGCGGGAAGCTTATAATCACCCCTACTTCCTGTGTGCACAGGAGGCGCCAGCATTCATTGCCCCACACCTGTGGCGTGTACAGGGCCCACACCTGTGGCATGTACAGGGGCCCACACCTGTCCCGTGTACAGGGCCCACACCTGTGGCGTGTACAGGGCCCACACCTGTCGCGTGTACAGTAACCCACACCTGTGGTGTGTACAGGGCCCACACCTGTCGCGTGTACAGGGCCCACACTGTGGCGTGTACAGGGCCCACACCTGTGGCGTGTACAGGGCCCACACCTGTCGCCCATGGGCCACCCGCATGCCGTTCCTTTTCACCGTCTGCGCTTGGGAGAGCGGCTCAGAGGACCATCGGTTTTGACGTGGAAAGGGGCCCTCACAGCGACGGCCTCCCTCTGAGAGGCTGCCCTTGTCCCGGCGCAGAGCCCCCGTGAGCTCAGGACCAGCCTGTCCGAACCACGGGCTCAAGCGCCATCAGGACTCAGCGCCCTGGCTTTCCCGCTTGGTCCCGGCAGGTGGACGAGCTCTACGAAGCCTACTGCATCCAGAGACGCCTCCAGGACGGCGCCAGCAAGATGAAGCAGGCCTTCGCCTCGTCCCCCAACAGCAAGGCCGCCCGGGAGAGCCTGGCCGAGGTGCACCGGAGCCACAAGGAGTACACGGAGGTGGGTGCACCGGCCCGCGGCCACCTGCGGGGACCGCCCAGAGCACGCACGGCGCCCTGCGCCCATCTCACTCTGCTCTTCACACAGGAGTCTTACTCTTTGTCTCTCTTGCTTTTTTTTAAATATGTATATTTTTATTGGTTTCAGAGAGGGAAGGAGAGGAACAGAGAGATAGAAACATCAGTGATGAGAGGGCATCATGGACCGGCTGCCTCCTGCACGCCCCACACTGGGGATCGAGCCCGCAACCTGGGCATGTGCCCTGATTGGGAATCGATCCATGACCTCCTGGTTTATAGGTGGACACGCAACCACTGAGCCACGCTGGCCGGACTACGTGCCCTGTTTTTTTCCATTTACACGCACCTCCAAAGTCTCCCGTGTGCGGTCCCCCCGAGCGTTACCCCGAGAGCTGAGCAGGCCGTGATGGAGGTCACCCCGCAGTCGGTTGTGGCGAGCCCTCCTGCCTGCGTGTCGCTGGCGGCTGGCAATGTCCCTCCTGTCCCTGCAGGAGACAAAGAGGCCCGCTGCCCTGGTTTCTGCCTGTCCCCTGGGCCGAGCACATGATGCAGGGAGGTCTGTGCCCTCGGGGTCACCGGATACCAGTGCGCCTGATGAAATGGCTGAACTATTAAGGCAGTGCTTCTCCCGTCCCTGGGCCTCGCTCAGAGGTCAGAGTTCCCGGTGACGTCATCAGCCCGGGAGCGTCTGAGGGACAGTCCCCAGAGGGGCCTCTGCCTCAGCCTCGGGCGGCGGGGACCTCTTGGGTGACACGCAGGGTCACTTTGTGGGTTTTGCTTTTGTTTTTGAATATATTTTTATTGATTTCAGAGAGGAAGGGAGAGAGAAAAACATCTGTGATGAGAGAGAAACATGGACCGGCTGCCTCCTGCACGCCCCTCACTGGGGATCGAGCCCATGACCTGGGCACGTGCCCTGACCGGGAATCGAACCGTGACCTCCTGGTTCATAGGTCGATGCTCAACCACTGAGCCACGCCGGTCGGGCTCACACGGATTTCTTAATGGTAACCTCTGTAACATGCGTGTCCCCCGCATAAGCACATACACACCGTGAGCCCAGCTAAGAAAGGTAAGTCATGCTGCAGAATCCCCTCAGATCCCCGGTGTTTCCACATTCCCCCTATCTGGCCCCATAGCATCTTGTTTTAGTTTCTTTGTCTTTAAAGTCAGGATACAACCCAGGTCCATGGAACACCTTCCATCCGGTTGTCTCTTTCGTCTCTTTCGTCTCCATCCCCCTATGATATTGCCCTTTTGTGGAATTCAGGCCGGTTCTTATAGGGTACCCTGCATTCCAGCCCTGGCCGGTTTGGCTCAGTGGATAGAGCGGCAGCCCACGGACTGAAGGGTCCCGGGTTCGTTTCAGTCAAGGGCACGTACCTGGGTTACAGGCTTGGTCCCGGCCCTGGCTGGGGCACATGCGGGAGGCAACCCATCGATGTGTCTCTCTCACATCGATGTTTCCCTCTCTGTCTCTCACCCTCCTTTCCACTCTCTCTAAGAATCAATGGGAAAATATCCATAAAAATATCTATGAAAATAAAAGAGCACGCCCACATTCGGGATCGTTGGTTCAGGATGTACTCTAACTTGTTCTGTGCTCGCAACGTCCCGGACGCGGAGGCTTGCCTGGGCCTGGGTAGAGCTTGCTGTGAGGAACCCTCCCGGGCGGCAGTGGCTCAGAGGGGACGGGTCGGTGCGCCCTGGGTCCGGCCGTGCGAGCGCCAGGGGCTCTGGGCTGACCGGAAGCTGCCCAGCCCTGACCAGCGCCGTCCCCGCCCCTGTCCCCTCACAGAACATGTGCACCATCGAGGTGGAGCTGGAGAGCCTGCTGGGCGAGTTCTGCATCCGGATGAAAGGTACTCGCGGCCACGCCATTCCTGTATCCCCGCTCAGCCCTCCCGCCTGCTCACTGAAACCGAATCCTAGCCCTGGCCGGTGCGGCTGAGTGGACAGAGCGTCTGCCTGTGGACCGAAGGGTCCCGGGTTCAATTCTGGTCAAGGGCAAGTACCTTGGCTGCAGGCTCCTCCCCGGCCCGGGCCCTGGTCGGGGCCATGCAGGAGGCAACCCATCGATGTGTTTCTCTCACATCGATGTTTCTCTCTGTCTCTCCCTCTCCCTCCCTCTCTCCCTAAACATCAATGGGAAAATATCCCCGAGTGAGGATTAACAACAACAAAGAAACTGAGTCCCAGGCCCTGGGTTCCCAGGACATCCCGCACAGCCTGTGGCGTCAGGGCCGTCCTGAGGCAGCGATGGGCACGACACCCGGTTGCTCCCAGGAGGGGACCTGGGAGCGGGTGGCAGCCCAGGGGCCCGCCCACCCCGTCTGCAGCTGCAGGGCTGCTGGTCCGGGGGTGCTGGGCCAGACCTCCCTCCCCTGGGGACCTGGCCACCCTGTCAGCAGCGTCCCGGCCGCCGTGGGCTGCCTGTCGGGGACGGAGACCCCTCTGTGGCCCCCACACCCGCACCCCCGTCCCGTCCCGCTGTCCTCTCTCCTTAGCTTCTCTCGGGGGGTCCCTCAGGCCTGGGGCCGCTCCTCCTTTTTCATTGTAGATTCATCGAGGCTCACTTCCCTCACCTCACACAAAACCCCAAGGCGCAGCCGGCCAGGCTTCCTGGGGACGCCCCACGGAAACGGTCCCCCCTCGATAAGGCAGCCCTCCCGCTCCAGGAACCCCCAGCGTTGCCATGCGCGACCTGCTTATCTGTTGTTCATTCTGGGAAAAGAGCCGCCCCACGCCCACCGACGCCGACCGGGGCTATTTCACAACACGCAGGCCTGGCCGCCGCTTCCGCCGCCACACCCAGCACACTTCCCCTGCCCCCCAACACAGATGGCTTGTGGAGGGGGCAGGGGGACAGCAGATGAGACGATGGGTGAAGAGCCAGTTTGGCTCAGTGGATAGAGCATTGGCCTGCGGACTGCAGGGTCCCGGGTTCGATTCTGGTCAGGGGCATGGACCTCAGTTGCAGGTCCCCAGCCCTGGTCGGGGTTCGTGCAGGAGGCAGCCAGTCGATGTGTTTCTCTCACATCGATGTTTCTCTCTGTCTCTCCCTCTCTCCCTTCCACTCTCTCTAAAAACCTATGGGAAAATAACCCCAAAAACCAACTTACCGCTGTTGGCCACGCACGAGGCTGCGTGCATCTGGGTGGCGGGCCCTTGGCCTTGAGTCCCCACAACCTCCTGGAGGAGACGGTGGCTGAGCCAGTGCCGTCTGCTTGGTGCAATAGTGACCGCTGGCCCAGCCGCCTGGGGTCAGATCGCCGGAGGCCTGGGGGTGGGAAGGGTGCCCTCACCGGCCTGGGAGGAGGCAGGCTCCCCAGTGTCACCTCTGAGTGAGATCGGGAGGCCCGTCTGGCAGGTGCACAGCCCAGGACAGCACCCACCCCACAGGGCAGGGCTCAGAAAGGACTGGGAATGTGTTCTTGATGCCTGGTTCTCCCTAGACGTCAGGGTGGCAGCCCTAGCACGCTGGCGGCTGCTGCCACCTATTGGCCGGTCATGGCCACGGCGGGTGCTTTGTTAGGCCTCCCTTAACCTTGGCGATGCCTATTGGTGCGCCCAGTCTCATGATTTTTTATTATTTATTTATTTATTTATTTATTTATTTATTTATCTTTATTTTAGAGAGGAAGGGAGAGGGAGAGATAGAAACACCAAGGATGAGCCCTGGCTGGTGTGGCTCAGCGGATAGAGCGTCGGCCTGCGGACTGAAGGGTCCCAGGTTCGATCCCGGTCAAGGACACATGCCCGAGTTGCAGGCTCCATCCCCAGTAGGGAATGTGCAGGAAGCAGCCAATCAATGATTCTCACCATTGATGTTTCTATTTCTCTCTCTCCCTCTCCCCTCCTCTCTGAAATCAATAAAAATATATTTAAAAAAAAAAAAGAAAGAAAGAAACATCAATGATGAGAGAGAACCATGGCTCGGCTGCCTCCTGCACGCCCCCTACTGGGGATTGAGCCCGCAACCCAGGGGCGTGTCCTTGACTGGAAATCGAACCCATGACCCTTCGGTGCATGGGCCCGCGCTCTAACCACTGAGCTACCGCCCAGGACACCGTACCAAAACATTTAGAGTCATACAGAAACGCCACCCCAGTGGCTCCCCCCACAGAGGCCCCGAGCATTACTACACGAGTTCCCAAAAGTCCGACCCTGCGCGTGAGCGTGTCGAGGGGCCGGTGCGCGGGGTCGTGAAGCGGGAAATGCGTTCTGCACCTCACGTCCCGACTGCTTGCCCTTTGCAGGTCTGGCCGGCTTCGCGCGCCTGTGCCCCGGGGACCAGTACGAAGTAAGTGCCGTGTGTGGCCGGTGTCGGGGTGGAGGCCTGAGGGAGAGGGCTCGGTCTTCACTGCTCCGCTCCTTAAATGCCCTGTTTCATTTTTACACTTGTTATGGGGGGGCGGGGGGCGGGGGGCGGGGGATGAAGCCAACAGGAACGTTTGGAGAGGAACTCAAGCCCTTGTGTAACTTCTGTCTGGACTCAGAGTTTAGCAGGTGCCTCGATGGCTGTGTTATTACTGTTACCGTCACCGTCGTTGTTATTGTTTTGCTGAGCTCTTGGGAGGGACGTGCAGACACCGTGATCCTTCGCCCCTCCCTTCTCCTAAGACCCTGTCGACACAGGAACGTGCACACAGAAAAGTTTATCGGAGTTTATTGAGCCAAAGCAGGACCTCATGGTTGAGATGCTCTGGAGAGTGGCCGTTCTGCAGCTTATTTTAAATGTTTTTATTGATTTCAGAGAGGAAGGGAAAGGAAGAGAGAGAATCATTGATCAGCTGCCTCCTGCACGCCCCACACTGGGGATCGAGCCTGCAACCAGGCATGTGTCCTGACCGGGAATCGAACCCTGACCTGGTTCGGTCGATGCTCAACCACTGAGCCACGCCGTCTGGGCAAGGGACATCTTATTTCTTGCTCTGACCGCTGAGTAGATTTTAGCAGATGCCCATTGTCTCTGTACGGGGCTGGGACTGGGAGTCAGTCCGTGGCTGTCCTATGGAAGTAGGACTGGCCTAGGAAAGAAGCAGGACTTGTGAGCAGACGGTAGGGGCGACGATCTTTACTAAAGAAAGAGCTCCCACCCTGGGCCTTCCAGACAAGAACCCCCCTCCCAAGGTCTCCCCACTCAGCGTCGGCTCCACGCTCGGAGCCCGGGAGTTTGGGAGGGAGGATGGTGGGGAAGGAGGGCAGTGTTCGGGGCTGGAGGCAGGTGAGGACGCATGCCCGTTGGTGTCTCCCCAGATTTTCATGAAGTACGGCCGCCAGCGGTGGAAGCTGAAAGGCAAAATCGAAGTCAACGGCAGGCAGAGCTGGGACGGAGAGGAAACGGTGTTCCTGCCCCTGATCGCTGGACTCATCTCCATCAAGGTACAGTGTTCCCGGCCGGCTGTGGTCTCCTGGGGCCAGGCTGGGTGGGCCAGGCTGGGTGGGCCAGGCTGGGTGGGCCTCGGCTGAGTCCCCAGGCTCCTCCTGTTGCCCAGTCCATGGCAACATCAGCTCCGACATCAGCTGTGGTTCAGAAAGAAATGACCGCAGTGTCCTGCCTGTCTGCTCCGCTGTCCTCCAACGCCTTCCCTTTCGCTTCCTTCCTAGGTCACAGAGGTCAAAGGGCTGGCCACCCACCTCCTGGTGGGCAGCGTGACCTGCGAGACCAAAGAGCTGTTTGCAGCCCGGCCTCAGGTACTGGCTGTTGACATCAACGACCTTGGCACCATCAAGCTGAACCTGGAAATCGCGTGGTAGTAAGTGGCCCTTTTCGGCTTCCTCAGACACAGGTGGACAGGCTGTGCTGACCACAGGGGCTCCTTCTGGAAGCCACACGTGGGCCCCTCCAGACACTGTGTCGGGGCCCAAAAAGAGGCATATCTAGGTGTGTGGGAGAGCTGTAGGTGTGCGGGTAGACTGGAGGTGTGCAGGCCGGTGGTATGTGTGCAGGCCGGTGGTACGTGTGCAGGCAGGTGGTATGTGTGCAGGCCGGTGGTATGTGTGTAGGCCGGTGGTATGTGTGCAGGCAGGTGACATGTGTGCAGGCAGGTGGTACGTGTGCAGGCAGGTGGTACGTGTGCAGGCAGGTGACATGTGTGCAGGCAGGTGGTACGTGTGCAGGCAGGTGGTACGTGTGCAGGCAGGTGACATGTGTGCAGGCAGGTGGTACGTGTGCAGGCAGGTGGTACGTGTGCAGGCAGGTGACATGTGTGCAGGCAGGTGGTACATGTACAGGCAGGTGGTATGTGTGCAGGCAGGTGGTACGTGTGCAGGCAGGTGACATGTGTGCAGGCAGGTGGTACGTGTGCAGGCAGGTGGTATGTGTGCGTGATGATGACTGCTGGTCCCTCGAGTGGTTCTTACACTCAGCTTCCTCTCATCTTGGCTGATTTTCTGACAAACCACTGGGCCCCGCCCCACCCCTCCCGCTGGTTAGAATGTCCTTGAGTGAAACCAGGTGCTTCCGGAGCCTGCCGTCGGTCACGCAGGTGCCTGACAGCTCACCTCCGGGACCTGCTGTTTTCCAGCCCCTTCGACGTGGAGGACGTGACCCCGTCAGCCGGCACCGGGAGCAAGGCGGCCGCCCTGCAGCGGAGGATGTCCATTTACAGCCAGGGCACCCCCGAGACGCCCACCTTCAAAGACCACGCCTTCTTCGTAAGTTCAGTGTGATTCTGGGCTGGAGACGTGAGCCCGAGGCCGTGCTGGCCTCGTGTCCCAAACGCTGACACCCTGCGATAGGGCCTGACCCAGCATTGGGGCCTCTCGTCGTTCCTAGCGACGCGGTTCTCAAGCTCACCCCCTACTCCCCCAGCGACACCCCAGCCGCCTCTGCTGCGCGCACAGGCGGGCCCGCTGCCTTCCTGCCCCTCCCCCGCGCTCCCTGCCGCTTTGGTAATAGCACGGATTCCTCCGGAACCTTCTCTAACAGCAGCATTTTGTTGTTGTTCTGTTCTCGCCCGAGGATACTTTTCCATTGATTTTTAGGGAGAGTGGGAGAGAGAGAGAGAGACAGACAGACAGACACTTTGATTGGTTGCCTCCTGCAAGCGCCCCGACCAAGGCCGGGGCCGGGAGGAGCCTGCAATCGAGGTACATGCCCTTGATGGGAATCGAACCCGGGACCCTTCGGTCCGCAGGCCGACGCTCTGTCCACTGAGCCACACCGGCTGGGGCACGATCAGCATTTTGCAGCCGCGTGTGTTCTAACCTGAAACGCTTGCCGAGACGCTCACCCTAACCTGTCCCTGCTCTCCCTGTCCCCGTCTCTCGCTCCGGAAGCGCTGGCTGCAGCCCTCCCCGGACAAGCCCCGGCGGCTGTCCGCCCTGAGTGCCTTGCAGGACACGCTCCTGGCCAAGCTGCACCGTAGCCGCTCTGTGTGCGACCTGCCCTCCCTCAGGCTGAGGCCCAAGGCCGTGCTCGAGTCCTACGTGAGTGCGGCCCAGCGGCCGCGGGCGGGGGCTGCGTGCTCTGCTTGTGTCTTGCTTGTCCTGTCCGGCTCCCTGGCGGGGACTCGTCCTGCATGCAGTTGGTGGGAGAGCCCTGTGTCTTGTCTAACGACCCTGCTTCTGTGCTGTGGTTTGTCTCCGCTGCTGTGAGGACACCCACGGTAACGGTAACGGTAACGGTAACGGTAACGGTAACGAGCTTCCCCTCTTTAAAGTGATTCAGTGACACGGAGGCCCGGGGAGACTTGATGCCAAGTACCCGAGTCCTTATGCTCCGTGCTCACCGGGAAAAGGCTGGGGAGGAACTCGGGCTTAAACCCACGTGACTAGCACTGTTTCCTTTAAAAAGGTTCTTCATTCACTGTAGTGTTTGTACCAACTTAATTAAAGCAGAACAGAGCCCGGCCCGAGGGGCTCAGTGGGTGAGCGTCAACCTATGAACCAGGGGGTCACGGTTTGATTCCGGGTCGGGGCACATGCCCGGGGTTGCGGGCTCGATCCCCAGGGGGGCGTGCAGGAGGCGGCCGATCCGTGATTCTCTCATCATTGGTGTTTCTGTCTCCCTCTCCCTTCCTCTCTGAAATCAATAGAAATATATTTAAAAAATAAAATAAAAGCCGAACAAAGTATCGCATCTTTTCAATGAAATAGCATGTCTTTCAAGCTAGATGCCAAAAAAAAAGGGTTTTTGTTTGTTTGTTTTGTTTTTGTTACAAAGGCGTTTAGTTTGTGCTCATCGGAGTCCGGCTGTTCTCACGTGCACGTGTCCCGGATCTCCCTGTGCGCCCCTCTCCGTACAGTAGTTAATGTGCAGTCTCACTCACAGGCCGGGGGCACACACATGTTTTAAGTTGGCGCTGTTACCCCTACGTGTGGCTGCGGAGCTGTGAGGTCCCGGGATGAGGGAACCCAGCCTTCCCCCGGGAAAATGTGAACTTCCACCCGGAAAGGGAGGTTTTTAAAGGCCTGTTTGCTGTAGCTGGACACGCACACACACAAAACCAACAAACAAAATGCTACTATGATGAGAGATCTGGGTTTTTACTTATTTTATTTTTTAAAAAGTAGCTTTATTGATTTCAGAGAGGAAGGGAGAGGGAGAGGGAGAGAGAGAGAAACATCACTAATGAGAGAGAATCCTGAACCGGCTGCCTCCTGCACGTGCCACACGGGATCGAGCCCGCAACCCGGGCCTGTGCCCCGACCTGGAATCTAACCATGACCTCCGGGTTCACAGGTCGACGCTCAACTGCTGAGCCACGCCAGCTGGGCTGGCTTTTTATTTTAATTGGGTTACAGCTTATTTGGAAATCAGCCACACCAGACACCTCACCTGTATTTAAAAATAACACAAAGAGAAATTTAAATGCTAACGAGATGCCTCTCTCCCGCAGTCGAACCTCCCAGATGACACCTTCGAGAGTGACAAGGCTGCCGAAGAGAAGAGGCCGCTGTCCCTCAGCTTCGACGACCTGCCCAACGGGGACTGCGCCCTCCCTGCCAGCCCAGCTGGCTCCCTCGCCAACTCGTGCCCGGCCCATCCCGAAATCACCATCACCCCCGCCGAGCTGCACCGGGGCCAGAGCACCGAGGACTCGGGCTCCGTGTCCTCCAGAGGCTCCTCGGGAGGCGGCCCGGGGCCCACGCCGACCCCAGAGGAGGACGTGGAGGGGCTCCCGAGAACCGAGGCCTGCCCGGCGCCCCCAGGGCCCCCGGCCGGGCGCCTGTTCCTGGAGAGGGCTGTGGCGGAGGCGCTGCTGCGGGAGTCGGATGAGGCCTCAGAGCTGAAGCCGGTGGAGCTGGACGCCTTCGAGGGCAACGTCACGAAGCAGCTGGTGCAGAGGCTGACCTCGGCCGAGGCGCCGGCCGCCACGGAGAGGCTGCTGTTCGAGGAGCCGGTGGTCAGTGGTGAGGTGGACGGCGGCCAGTCCTTCCTGGACGGGAGCCTGGAGGACGCGTTCCACGGGCTGTTCCTCGCGCTGGAGCCCCACAAAGAGCAGTACCAGGAGTTCCAGCAGCTGAGCCAGGAGGTCATGCACTTGGATAATGTCCTCAAAGTAAGTGCCTGAGCAGGGACCCCGGGTCAGGGGGCGAGAGAGGGGGCTGAGTGGCGTTCTGTCTACAGCAGCGTGTCTTCATCTTCCATCCTGTCCCATCACAGAGCTGTACACAATGGCTCTTTATTTTTTAAAATATATTTTTATTGATTTCAGAGAGGAAGGAAGAGGGAGAGAGAGATAGAACCATCAATGATGCTGCCCTAGCCAGTGTGGCTCAGAGGATAGACCTGCAGACTGAAGGGTCCTGGGTTCGATTCTGGTCAAGGGCACGTACTTTGATTGCAGGCTCCATGGCCCAGGCCCTGGTCAGGGCTTATGCAGGAGGCAACCAATCGATGTGCTTCTCTCACATCGACATTTCTCTCTGCCTTTCCCTCTCTCTTCCACTCTCTCTAAAAATCAATGGAAAAATATCCTCAGGTGAGGATTTTAAAAAGTAATTAAAAAATAAAATAAATAAATACACACACCCGTATTGTACACGATCACGCTCTGCGGATGCCAGGCGTAGGAAAGGAGAACCAGGAGGTTGTGCCTCTGAGGTGAGGGCTGGGGCGAGGGCTTTGCGCCCGCTGGCCGGCATTCCGGCAGCGGCGGGACGTGGCTCTCTCTCTTTCCCCTTCACGTTCCCAGGATGCATAGCACCTTGAGGATGAGAGACTAAATGATGCCGCCCCTCGGACGGAGATCCCGAGGGCGACTGAGCAGCTCTGATGCATGAGCACCTGTGCTGGGTGGCCTCCTGGGCGTAGAGACAGCCCCCACCAGGCCCTTCCCGCCTGTGTCCCGAAGTCGGCACGAGGACCTTAGTTCTGCCACCTTGCAGGACTTGCCCCGTTCCACCCACCCCAGCGAACCCTTGACTATTGGGAAGTACCTCTCTCCACCTCCATGCCTGTAGCAATGGGCGTTATTCTGTGTGTGATGTCTGCGAGTCTGTCCAGTGCCATAGGATTCTCTGGGCCACAGGTCTGCCCCCCGTGACTCCGGGCCATGGGCCGGGTCAGGGAGGTGACGGAGCAAGGTCCTTCCAAGGCAGAGCTGGGAGGAAGCAGCGCTGCCTCTCATGGTGCCCACCATTCATGTCTCCTCGATGCAAAAGAAAATGATGTGCTGTGAATGTAGATGAGCTTTTAAGGCCACCTTCCCAGGACACGTGGGTTAGTGAAGGGCGCCCCCCTCTGTTTCTGGGGGCTGTCCTCTTCATCCTTCAGAGCAGAGGCCTCGCTGGCAGCTCCCATCTTGGGAAGACAAGGCCTTGTGGAGTTAGAGGCTGCTCCTGTGCCACACTGAACCCACTTCTCTCTCCATGTCTCCTGGGTCATGTTTTACTTGGGGTTGAGCTCCAGGCAGAGGGACATGGCAACTCTGATTCCCAAGATTTTAGGTTGTAATAGATGTTTTTTAACTTTCTTTTAACACGTTAAGCACCATGTCAGTCACTGGTGACTGACACTACACTTTCCGTTTGGACCTCGTCAGTCTCCGGCCGCCAGCATATTGGTGAAATCAGATATCGCGGGCTAAATGGAAAGGAAGACAAAACAGGCTTGGCACTTAATGTATTAAAATATATTTTTACTGATTTCAGAGAGAGAGAGTAACATCAATGATGAGAGAGAATCATTGATTGGCTGCCTCCTGCGTGCCCCACAATGGGGATCGAGCTCGCAACCCTGGGCATGTGTCCTAACCAGGAATTGAACCATGACCTCCTGGCTCATAGGTTAGCGCTCAACTACTGAGCCACACCGGGATGTTTTTGAACTTTTTATTATAAACATTTCCAACAGTAGTAGAGCAAATAGATAATGGGTCCCCCCCACCCCCCTCCAGCTTCCTCGTGCTCCTCTCCTGGCCAATGTCCTCGTCTCGTCTTCGAGCTGCTTGCTTCCCTCTGCATTAGTTTGGAACAAGTCCCAGAGACTGTGCCATTTGATTCATGGTTGTTCTTTTTTAAATATGAATATGTTAAATGCATTTGTTTTTAATATCAATAAAATACAATAAAACAAAAGCTTGAAACAAAGACAGTGTCACCTGTTCCTATTGGTCAGAGCGGGTGCTGGGTCCCATCCCCTCGGGGACGCTGGCTGTGTCCGCCCCGCAAGGACCTTGACCGTGTCCCCCCTGTCGGGGTCGTGGGGGACGCTGATGTGCCGGTGCCCCTGCCTTGCAGTGTAAGCCGCCCGGAAGCCGCAGCACGCCCTCCAGCCTGAGCCTGACGGTGGAGAGCGCCCTGGAGAGCTTCGACTTCCTGAACACCTCCGACTTTGACGAGGATGAGGATGTGGACGAGGGTGGCCCTGTGGGAGGTGCCGACTCGGTGTTTTCAGACACGGAGACGGAGAAGAACGGGTGAGCCTCGCTGGCGTGGACGCTCCCACTTGCTGCGCTGAGCCCGGCAGCCCCTCGTCCCTCCCGCCTCCGCCCCCTGCAGCCCTGGGGGTCTCCCGGGAGTAAGCTCCTCGGTGCAGCCTCACAGCCAGGCGTCAGCCGGGCACCCAGGGCCCAACCGAGTGTTTTGTCCTCGGGGTAAAGTGCCCAGAGCAGCACCCCAACAGCTGTGAGCTCTGGTGCCCCATCTTTTTACACCACGGGGACGGAGAGCCTGAGCCGGGAAGCCGGGAGCTGGGCTGTCGCTGCCCAGGTGTGCGAGCCTGGGACGCTGGTTGTCATCTCTGCTGGTCCTTGTGGCCTGCCCCGCCCCCCCGCCCGGCACCCAGGTTCATTCTGGAATAAAACAGATGCGACAGACTTATTTTTCCGTGGGAGTGCCCATCACCATGCCACTGTGGGCAGCTCTGCCTTGGGCTTTTTGTTTTGTGTTTAAATATGTTTCTATTGGTTTTTAGAGAGGAAGGGAAAGGGAGATAGAGATGGAAACAACAATGATGAGAGAGAATCATGGATCGGCTGCCTCCTGCACGCCCACACTGGGGATCGAGCCTGCAACCTGGGCCTGTGCCCTGACCTGGAATTGAACCCTGACCTCCTGGTTCCTAGGTCGACGCTCAGCCCCTGAGCCCCGCCGGCCGGGCCGTGGGGCACAAACAAAGCCTGGGAGGCAGAAGGAGGCTGTACCCCCCGCGGGACCAGTGCCCCTTAGCTTTTGTCCCGAGTGGAGGTCCGGTCTCTGGTTGGCAGAGTTGCTGCCCCCTTTGCTTCAGGTAGGGACTGACGAGGTCAGGAAACTGGCTGGGCAGGTTCGTTCTGAGCAGGACTCCTGGGAAATGGCAAGTACAAACACGGTTTAATCCAGGACCCTGGGCGGGTCCCCCGTCGCGAGTGTCGCCTGGGCAGGTTTCTGAGACTCGGTGAGGCTGCTGGCGAACGGTTCTCTGTGCCGAGAGCCGGGAAGCAGTTTTTCTGCCTGACCTTTTACATCAGGCACATTGGTGACAGGCTGACTTGAGATGTGTTGCAAGGTAGCTCGAGCCCTGGCCGGTTTTCTCAGTGGATAGAGCATCGACCTGCGAACCCAAGGGTCCCGGGTTCGATTCTGGTCAAGGGCACAAACCTCGGTTGCAGGGTCCTCCCATGCCCTCGTTGGGGCCGTGCAGGAGGCAACCAGTCGATGTGTGTCTCTCACATCAGTGTTTCTCTCTGTCTTTCCCTCTTTCTTCCACTCTCCCTAAAAATTCAATGGAAACATATCCCCAGGTGAGGACTGAAAAAAGAAGAAAAAGGCAGCTTGGGTTTTCCAGGCCGTGGGAGGAGCTCTTGGGGACCTGAGGGGAGCCACGTCGAGTTGACCTGTGGTTTCCACACGGAAAGAAATGGCTCCCCTGTCGCTACCTTCCTCCTTCAACAGCTACAGGTCAGTTCACCCAGAGGCCAGGGCGCACCTCAGCGAGGCGCTGACGGAAGACACGGGCGTGGGCACCAGCGTGGCCGGCAGCCCCCTCCCGCTGACCACGGGGAGCGAGAGCCTGGACATCGCCATCGTCAGGCACCTCCAGCAGTGCACCCAGCTCGTGCAGGTACGGCCGACGGCGTCGCGGTAGGCCCAGGCGGTTCGTGGACCAGAGAGGGAGCGCTGCTGCTGCTTTTTTAAAAAATATATATTTTTATTAATTTCAGAGAGGAAGGGAGAGGGAGAGAGAGAGAGAGAGAGACATCAATGATGAGAGACAGTCCCCACACTGGGAATGGAGCCCACCATCCGGGCCTGTGCCCTGATGGGGAATCAAACCCTGACCTCCCGGTTCAGAGGCCGATGCTCAGCCACGGAGCCACGCGGGTGGGCGAGATAGCTTGGTTATAATTATGACTATTAGACACCATGCTGCTAATTTCAGCTTGAAAACAAGGAAATAGATCCAGGCTGAGAAAAACCACCACGCTTATAAAATGCGTCTTTTGGGGCGTACACACCCACGGCAGCCTGAACGCGCCTCCCTATGGAGAGGGCTCACTGATTTCCAGTGGCCTCACCGCCCCCCCTGAGAGAGTTCCAGAATGTGTGTAGGCGGGGGCACGCAAAAAGCCACGGGAGCCTGTCTGGTTTCAGCACTGAACCCAGGAGCAGCATCGCCCGGGGCAGGGCGCCACGGAGTCGGCCACGTCCCCAGCGGGCGCAGGAAGCGCGGTCGGGAGGGGCGCTGGGCCCCACGCCTGAGACAATGCTCTCGTTTCCTCCCCAGCAAATTGTCTTCTCCAGCAAAACCCCCTTCGTGGCGAGAAATCTCCTGGAGAAGCTTTCCGAGCAAATCCGCGTGATGGAGAAACTCGCCGCCCTCAGTGACGAGCACATAGGGAACATCGGTTCCGTCCTGGAAGGTGAGGCCCTGCCTGGGAGTCCACGCTGACCCCCCTCTGCCCCTCCCCGCTCTTCACCCCTCCTCCCTTCCCCGCTCTTTACCCCTCCTCCTCTGTGTCTGGACAGGCAGCAGCAGAGCATTCAGAGCAGGGGCTGCCCCACAGCTGTGGGGTCTCACTAGCGCCCCCTTCACCTTCGGAGTCAAAGTGCACCCGGCTTCTGCTGGGGCCTCCTTCATAGGCAGGCACTTGGGTGCAGACACGGGTGTACAGACAGATATGGGTGTGCGCACACAGGTGTGCAGACAGACACGGGTGTGCAGGCACGAGTGTACAGACATGCAGGTGTGCAGGCACAGGTGTGCAGACAGACACAGGTGTGCAGACACGGGTGTGCAGACAGCACCATGTCACCTCTAGCGTGGCTCCCTGTGGGGATGTGAGATGCGGATTGTCCTCACACTGAATTGGCTAAGACAGCCCCACCGTGGCCCAGGGTCACATGCAAGATGCCCCCAAACCTACCGGGAGCCAAACCTTAGGGAGAACCTAAGGCCTTCGTGAGGGTCCCTGGGTCAGAGAGTTCTAGGTGGGGAACTTGACCCGGGAAAGATGCCTTAGAAGGTGTGTGGCCTCACACACACACACACACACACACATACACGGAATATATTTTTTCCATTGATTTTTAGAGAGAGTGGAAGGGAGGGGGGGGCGGGAAGGGGAGGGGGGTGAGAGGACTGGGTTTCTCTCCCCGAAAGCAAAGGGCTCTGCTTCCTGTCGGCTGCAGGGGCCCTCAGCAGGACGGCTGCGTCCTGTGGCCATCAGCCGACGAGGGTCCTTAGGAAATAGTAATAACAGGCCGGTGGGGGCCCAGCCGGTGCGGCTCCGTGGTGAGCATGGACCTAGGAACCAGGAGGTCACGGTTCGATTCCAGTCAGGGCACAGGCCCGGGGTGTGGGCTGATCCCCAGTAGACGGCGTGCAGGAGGCAGCCGATCCATGGTTCTCTCTCATCACTGATGTTTCCATCTCTCTCTCCCTCTCCCTTCCTCTCTGAAATCAATAAATTTTAAAAATAATAATTTTTTAAAAAGGGGGTGGTGGCCACGCCTCGCCCCCCCCCCCCCCCCCCCCGGCCGGGTCCCTCGCCCGGCCTCACGGCGTCCTTCCTTCCTTCCAGCCATCCCCGAGTTCCACCAGCAGCCGTCCCTGCTGTCCTTCTGGACCGAGTGCTGCGGCCCAGCGGGCGTATACCACAGCTCGGCCGACCGGGTGGTCCAGCAGCTGGAGGCCAGCTTCGCTGGCGCCGTCAACGCAGACTACCCAGGCCTGGCAGACCCAGGTGGGCACCGTGGGGGGGCGGTCTGCCCCAGGGTCCCCACTCCTCCGCCCGCCGCCACCCTGGACGCCAGGCCTCCCCCAGGGAGACCTAGGAAACCAGACGGAGCACGTGCTGACTCAGCAGCGCAGGGACCTGGGGAAGCCCTGCCTTCCCATGTCGCTGGGTGGCACCTCCCAGCCCCGATGTCGGCGGGTGTGGCGACCCCTTGGGAAATGGGCAGTTCTACCCACACTCAGTAAACCCCTCCCCTGGGAGCCAGCACCCCGCTCCGGAAGAGGTCAAGAGAAATACACGCTCACAAGGGAGGGACGTGCACATGGAGTTCGCAGCAGCTCAAATGCCCCTGAATCAGAGCCCAGACGCTGTCATCTGTCCGCACCCTCGGGGGCTGGGAGGCGATTTTAAGAAGAATGAGTTACGGGTGCAGGCTCCGTTTGGCATGAGTCTCAGCTCTTTTGATGAGCGAAAGGAGTCAGCTGCCTGAAGTTGGGGCGCAGGCTGTGCTGACTTGTAAGCGGGGAAGGGCTCACAGTGACCTCACGGGGCACAGCTGTGACCTGCACTTGGATCTAAACGGCCCTTGGGCAGGTGTGTAGACGGCACCGGTCGCCCGCTGTGCCTGGGGTTAGTCCACTGGCGGGCTTCGCTCTGTCCTGCTCCACAGTGAGAAAACGAGCGAGTGAATGAATGAATGAATGAATGCGTCTCCTAACGGCTGCCTTGTGTCTTCTCTTCCCCAACAGTGTTTCGGACGCTGGTGGCCCAGATCCTGGACCGGCCGGAGCCCCTGCTGCCCCCCAGCCTGGCCTCCGAGGTGGTCACCGTCTTCCAGTTTCACGGCTACTTCTCCGGCCCCGGGATGGGCGGCCTGGAGGGCCATGTGCGCCAGCTGGCGGGCCAAGGTGGGCGGCTCGCGGGGCATGGGCGGTGGAGGGACACGGAGTGGCCTTCTTTTTTATATTATCGCTTTCAGAGAGGGAGGGAGAGGGAGAGAGAGACAGAAACTGCAATGATGAGAGTCATGGATCGGCTGCCACATGGGGATGGAGCCCGCAACCCGGGCCTGTGCCCTGTCCGGCAATCAAACCGTGACCTCCTGATTCACAAGTCAACGCTCAACCACTGAGCCCGCCGGCCAGACTACTGTGTACTTTTTCATTTGCCGGCTTAGTTCATCCGACAGTTAATTTCGTGGCCATTATGGGCTGGAGACCACGCCGTTCTCCTCCCAAGCGCCTCATTGGCCTTGACAGAGTCACAGCACTGATGGGCCCTGTCCTCGAGGAGCGGAAGCCCCCTCTGTCACGCCCTGGTCTGCCCAGACGTGGCTCTGCTGCTGGGTGGCGCCTGCTCGCTGAGCGCCCTCCTCTGCGTTTCCTCCCCAGTCTCCATGGTGCGGAGCCTGCAGTCGCTGCGGGACGAGAAGCTGCGCCAGGCGGTCAGCGGCCTGGCCCCCAGCAGCCTCCCGGCCCAGCAGGAGGTGCTCCGGACCCTGGCTCTGCTCTTAACCGGGGCCGACCGCGGCGTCAGCCAGGCCGTGAGGCTGTACCTGGAGGCGGCCGCCGGGAACCAGCCTTTCAGGGAGAAGGTAGGCTGCGGGGCCCTGGCCAAGCCCCACGATGCTTCCTCCTGTCACCTGCTGTGACTGTTGTGCCGTTTCCTTCTCTAGGACGAATGTGTATCGTCTTTAAAAGTATTTGTTACTGATTTCAGAGAGGAAGGGAGAGGGAGAGAGAGAAACATCAATGATGAGAGAGAATCATGGATACATTCTCCTGTACACCCCACAATCCAGGCATGTGCCCTGACCAGGAATTGAACTGTGACCTCGTGGTTCATAGGTCGGCGCTCAACCACTGAGCCACAGGTCAGGCAAGAATCTGTATCTTGGACGGTGGCTCAGTTGGTTGGAGCATCATCCTGTACACCCAAAGGTTTCTGGTTTGACTCCCAGTTGGGGTGCGTATAGGACCCCAACCAATCGATGCTTCTCTCTCTCTCTCCCTTCCTCCCTTTCCCTCCCTTCCTCTCTCAAAGCATAAGCATACCCTCTGGTGAGCGCCCTGTAGCTTTCCTGTGAAATAGCACGGTTCCTTCTAACTAGCCTGAGCGCCTCTGCGGGGCCCCACGTCCCCCGAAAACTGGGCTCATGGCCGTGCATCTTCCAGCTTCATCCTCCCAGAGCCGCTGGCCTGGCCCAGCATACGGGATCCACATAGTGGATAGGAAATGTAAAAAGACGGCTCTTTTAGCAACGTGAGTTTTCATGGGCTTTTGGCTCGGAAGGCAATGCAGAGTGAATGGTTTAGCTGTAGTCCGTGTCAGGCAGTAACGGATAGGAACCCCTAAAACCAGGTGTTCACTGCCCTCCTCCCACCAGGCCCTGCTCTACTACTGTGAGGCCCTGACTGCCCGTGACCTGCAGCTGCAGAAGGCGGCGTGCCTGGCTCTTCAGAGCCTGCAGGTGAGGCCCGTGGGACTGAGCCCTGAGCAGGGACAGCTTCCTGCCGTGTGTGTGTGTGTGTGTGTGTGTGTGTGTGTGTGTGTGTGTGTCTGTCTGTCTGTCTGTGGTGCAGGACTGAGCCGCGTGTGCGTGTGTGCGTGTGCGTGTGCATGTGCGCGTGTGCGTGTGCAAGCCCCGTTAGCGGCATTGCTGGTCTCCTCTGCCCTGTTTGTTGCTTGGAGTCCTTTTTTCTCTTCTTGCAACATAACAAAATGTGATGTTTCAGACCCTCCTACTCTGTTCCTTCCGGCTCAGTCCTGGAAAAGTGTCTCTGATCCCCAAAGAGAGAGGCTGTGATGACGCACTAATGTGCGTTGTGTCCAAAACACCAGCAGGGCCCCGTCCGCTGTGCGCAGCACTGCACCTCAGGGTGCCCGTGGGTCCAGCCCGGCCCCGTGACGGCTTTCCCGGGGCAGCTCGGCCTTCACCGGTCGGGGTGGGGGCGGCCTCCTGGAAGCCACACGGGATGAAAAGCACTGACTCCCCAGCGCCAACGGGCTCACCTTCCAGTCGCCAAGATGTAGTCACAAACAGCGAGACTGGTCAGTCTGAGGGGAGGACGAGAGGGCAGCCCAGCCGCCCTCCACTGCGGTCCCAGTGCTCGTAAGACAAGTCAAATGTCTATTAATATAAACAATAAACCACAATAAAATACAGGGAAGCCCTCAGGGCTCCTGCTGCTGGGGACCTGGCTCTCTCCGGGAGTTCACCCCGCCCGTGGGGTGGCGCCCAGGAGCCGGGACCCAGCTCCCCACATGCAGCTGGAGGGGCCCGGGTAGGACAGCCTGGCCCCGGACAGATGTCAGCTCACGCTGTGCATGGCCCCGCCCCGCAGGCCACGGAGAGCATCAAGATGCTGGTGACCCTGTGCCAGTCGGACGCGGAGGAGATCAGAAACGTGGCCTCCGAAACCCTCCTGTCTCTGGGTGAGTGTGCATGGGGCTGCGTGCTTTTGAGTCTTACACAGAGCTGTCGGGGAGGGTCCCTGTGCACCATGTAGCGAGTCCCCCCCATGGCTGCCTGCTCACACACACGCTCACACACACGCTCACACACACGCTCACACGCTCACACACACACGTTCACAATATTCACACACACACTCACACTCACAACACACGCACATATACTCTCACACACGTAATGCACGCGCGCACACACACACACACACTCATACACACCCAGCATGAGGAATCCTCGTCTCCACGTCTCTCCGGCTTCTGTCCTGACCCCTGGATGTGGAGGGTGAGGGCTGGGAGCCTCCGGGATGCCGCCTCAGTCTGGGCAGGATTTTGGACTAAGAACCTGGAAGTCACACCGTCGTGGCACGAGCCGGGGTCTGGGCTGCTGCCTCCTGCACGCCCCTCACTGGGGATCGAGCCCATAACCCGGGCCTGTGCCCTGACCGGGAATCGAACCCTGACCTCCTGGTTCAGAGGTCGACGCTCAGCCACTGAGCTCGCCGGCCGGGCCCAGGTCAAGCACAGCTGACTCTGTCCTCAGTCTCTGTGTTAAATGGACGGAAGCTTCTCGCCCTCACTCTCCCACTTGCTGGTAAAGTTTTTAAATGAGGAAAAATGGAACAAAATAGTCAAGTAATTGACACGCGTTGGCCGTTCAGGGCGCTCCTGCTGACAGCCTGAGCCCGTGGTGGGCGGTAGGCTCGTCACCACGTTGACATGGTCACTTCTGGCTGGCGTTTGGAAGCCTGAATGTGACTCTATGAACGGCCGTGTAGGCGCCGGCACAGACGTGTAAAGGTAAAAGCCGTGCGGACGTTGCACGCTCCAGGGGCCAGGACCCGCGCGTGGAGGCCGCGCCCCGCCGCAGCAGGCTCCCGGGCGTGGCAGGGGTAAACCTGCTTAGTGAACTCACGGACACCACGTGCCCCAGACCTCTCGCCTCCCACCTGCCCGCTGCCCGGCTCCGGCCTCGGCTCCAAAGAGAGAAACGGCATCATTAACAAGAGAGGTGACTTTTCCTTCCCTGACGGTGACAGCGGAGCGTTGAGCTGACGCTGGTACCCGTTTCTCGCGTTCCCATCCAGGCGAAGACGGGCGGCTGGCCTACGAGCAGCTGGACAAGTTCCCCCGGGACTGCGCCCACGTCGGAGGCCGTCACGGGACCGAGGTGGCCACGGCCTTTTAATGACCCAACAGCTGTCGTCACAGACGGCCCTGGGGTCCCGGAGGCGCCGCGATGTAGCCGGAAACCTCCCGCGGTGTAGACAGAACGCGACCCGGTCCAGCGCCCAGCGCGAGCTGTGCCCGCTGCGGGAGGGCTGTGTGCAGCGTAGGTCAGTCACATCGCCGACCGCGGGCAGCGCTGAGTCAACAGAGCCCCCGTCTCTGACACGTATGGGATTTCAAAACAGCCATCTCTGTACTTTTCCAGAAGTTCTGTGAGCTTGAGGCCGTCCTGTGAGACTCGGGTAAATGTCGTACAGCTTGCAGTTCTCTCCGTCCGTCGTGTTCTCGGGGTTGAGGGTCCCCACCCCCCACCCCCCACCAGCCACCTAATTTTACCTTCAATGAAAAGCACAAAAAAGAATTGCTCCCAATAAAAGTTTGCCTGCGCGACGGTAGAACGCCACACTGTAAGAGCGTAATGTTTTTACACGTCACGTGTCACTGTGCCTCCTGTCCCTCTTCCTCCTCCTGAGAGTTCCGAAAGCGTGTTTCCACGGTGGTGAGGAGGTGGGGAGGTGACCAGGAGCAGACGACCTTGGGAGATCACCCCCCTACTCCTTAAACACAAAGGCACGCATTGCGTCTGCTTTTATTTTTGAACAAACAAGAGCCATTTTTTTATGATCTTTTTCTATAGAGGTACTTGGCTGCTAAGACCAACCCAAACCCAAAGCCACGGCTTCAGAAAAGCTGGGCGCTCCCTGAGGCGCGGGCGCGCGCAAGTTGGAGGGACATTGAAAAGGGGTCCTTGTTTCCGTGACAACCCCAGGAGGTCAGGATGAAGACTGCCCCCTGGGGGGGGGTGACTGCCCCCTGCTGGGACCCCTTGGCCAAATAGAACAGCAGCAGCCCTCACCGCTCCCACCAGGGGAGCAAACCCAGTAGTTAAAGTCCACGCCTGCTCAGGAGCTCCTGGTACATAACGGGGCTTCCTCCGAGGCGTATACGGGGCGGGATATGCCAAGTTATCTAATAGGTGTGAGTGTAGCTTGAACTGTACTCCAGATGTGTTTGTATAAAATGCCAGTGAGGTGTCATTTTAAATATCTACACGTCAGCAGACCTTTACAGCAGCTCTTAGTTCAACTTAAACAGTGTCTGCCGGGTTTCCCGGCAAAGAGTCCTTGGGACTGTGAAGTTACAGTGTGTGTGTATATATATATCTATTTGTATATTTATAAATATTATATATATGCCTATGTCCTTCCTTTGAAAAGTTCCTTGTACAGTCTATAGTTAGGATAGCCTGCATAAGCTGCAGTCCCTGTGAAATGGTGGAGATGATTTTTTTTTTTTATAGAAAACTCAAATCCCAAATGTGACCAAGTGTTTTGTTGGTTGTGGTGTGTGTTTTTTAAAAGAATTTTGAATATTGCATGAGCAACGGACTCCAGGTCTTTTATATTCACGTCTGCATTTTGTTTTGGTTGAAGGGGTGCGTTGTTTTGTGGCATTTGTATCCATCACTGTTCCCATCCTGGACGTTCAAATAAAAACTATTTTTGAATCTCTGGTCTCAGGCCCAGAGTCCACTGTATTTTTTCACACGCCCTCGCGAGTCGGTACATATACACGACACCTCACTCCCCATTGGAATTTGTTCTGATCTTGACATTCCTTCATCCATAATGAGGGATAGTAATATTTGCTTCTTGGATATTTTCTTTTAAATATATGTTTATTGATTTCAGAGAGGAAGGGAATGGGAGTGAGAGAGAGAAACATCAATGATGAGAGAGAATCATGGATTGGCTGCCTCCTGCACGCCCCCCGCTGGGGATCAAGCCTGCAACCTGGGCCTGTGCCCAGCCAGGAATCCAACTGTGAACTCGTGGTTCACAGGCCAACATGCAGCCATGGAGCCACGCCGGCCAGCACTCCTCGGGCATTTTATGAAGCTACTTGGAAAAAAAAGACTCTGAGCTCCTGGAGGATAAGAAGCATCATCCTTCATCTGTGTTCTCAGCCCAAACCCCAGGCAGCACCCTCTGCTCCCCAGCCCGTGTGGTCCAGGAGACTCCGTTGCTAGGTGATGCGTTCCAGAGTTCTGAACTATTGTGGCCAGTGGCGCGCAGTGGACCGGGAGCCCCTGGCCTGTCCACACAATGGCCACGGCCCATGTTCCTTCTGAGCAGTACGAGTCTCGGGTTTATCAGTATGTTGTGCGGCTGGGCCGGTGCCTCCGGAGGTTCTGGAATGTCTATATTATGGGCTTCTTCGTTGAGGAGGAGAAAGAATATATACCCCAAAGCCAGACTATTTTTCATAAAGAAAAAATCATGGCACTTGGCCAGACATTGAAGAACAAATCCCTGGCCATCGAGGAGAGGGCTCAGGCCGCCTACAGGATCGGACTGCTGGCCTTCACAGGTACGACCCTCCAGGGCTGACGTCCGTTTCACACCCCGTTTGCTGGTTACACTAAGTGAGGGTCTTCACAGGGCTCGTCTTAAAACCCCAGCAACACTTCCTTTGCCTAAGTTACCAGTTTTCTGTCTTTGTACCACCAAAGACATTACTGTTTATTTTTCTCCTTAAGGATCTGGGTTTTTTTATTTATTTATTTGGTACAAAGGATTCTTTTTTAAAAATGTATTTTTATTGATTTCAGAAGGGGAGAGAGAGAGAGAGAGAGAGAGAAACATCAATGATGAGAGAGAATCATTGATCGACTGCCTCCTGTACACCCCACTCTGGGGATCAAGCCTGCAACCCAGGCCTGTGCCCCGACTGGGAATGGAACTGTGACCTTCTGATTCATAGGTCACCGCTCAACCACTGAGCCACGCCAGCCGGGCTCAGCTAAAACTTGAACATTGACGAGAACATTCTTAGCATGTAAGAGAAATGCAAGTCAGGTGGGAAGTCCAGGCTGGAATCGGGCCAGTGATGAGGCTGCTCCTCACGCCTCACCTCTAACAGGCTCCTCCCTTCTCGGCGTTTGAGACTGGAACGAGGAAGAGCTGGGGGTCAGGAGGAGGACCAGGTGGTGCAGGACCAGGTGGGGTCAGGGGGCAGAGCCAGGATGGCCTCGCTGGTCCCAGGCCTGCAAGAGCTGGGGTGGGAGGGGTTGGAACGGGAGGGAAGGGCAGAGCGGCTAGCTTGCGAGAAACCTCTCCGACCACCAGCCCCGGCTTTGCAGCTCAGCCTTCTGGGGTTCTCGTTGCTGCTCTGCTGCTCTTGTGTTTTTTCTTTTTTAATCCTCATCTGAGGACCTTTCTCCATTGGCTTTTAGAGAGTGGAAGGGAGAGAGGAGACACAGAGAGAAACATCGATGGGTTGCCTTCGCACATGCTCCAACCAGGGCTGGGGATCAAGCCTACAACCTAGGTACATGCCCTTGACTGGAATCGAACCCGGGACCCTTCAGTCCCCAGGCCTACGCTCTTTCCGCTGAGCCAAACCGGCTGGGGCAAACGCTCTGGTGATTTTTCAAGTACTGAAGACGGAGAAGCAGGAAGGAGACCACAAGGGAGATGCCCGAGAACCCAGGCCTCCAGGGTGTCTGAGGACGGGGACCTCGGCAGGCAGGGACCTCCCAGAGCCCAAGTTCTCGAACACACACGTTCCCCGGCCCGAGCGTCCGTAGGTGGCAACAAGAACAGGCACAGCTGAGCCGCCCCGCCCGTCCCTGGCCACCAGGCCTGCCGAGTGCTCCTGGAACCCAGGTGCTTGTCTTCCAGGAGGACCCATGGCCGGGAAGTTTGCGGCCGAGCACATGAAAGAAGTGGCGAACTTGCTGCAGAACGCCCAGGCAGCCCCCCACGCGAGGATCCTGCTGCTCCAGAGCGTGGCCTGCTGGTGCTACTTGAACCCCATCACCCAGAAGAGGGCCAAGTTCCTGCAGCTCGTCCCCATTCTCATGGCGATTTTTGAGACGGTCCCCGAGTCCAGCAAGACGGGCGTCAACAACAGCCTCCTGGTGAAGTTCTGGGCGTGCTACACCCTGTCCGTCATGACCTGCAACAACGTGTCCTACGTGGAGGAGCTGAGGGAGCACTACAAGTTCAAGTACCAACTGCAGGCGCTGGCGCAGAAGGACTGGGCGGGCTGGCCCGAGAACTTCGCCGAGGTGCTCTACTTCCTCATCGGTTTCCACAGGCACTGACGCCTCTCCCTCCTGGAACAGAAATAAACGATCAAAGCCCACACGTCCCTCCTGGCGTCTTTTTTCAGGTGGTTGGAAACTCCCATTGAGCCCTAGCAGGTGTGGCTCAGTGGATAGAGCGCCAGCCTGTGGACTGAAGGGTCCTGGGGTTCGATTCCCGGTCAGGGCACAGGCCCGGGTTGCGGGCTCGATCCCCAGTACGGGGCGTGCAGGAGGCAGCCGGTCCATGAATCTCTCATCATTGATGTTTCTCTCTCCCCCTCTCTCTGAAATCAGTAAGAATATATTTTAAAATGACCTCCTGCAGATGAAGGTAATAAAATGGGAATTTTGGGATGATGCCAGGGGCATTGGTGGGATTCATGGGGTGTTAGATACTAAGCCAAGGCGCCCAGAAAAGCCAGACCCACTACGGTGCTGGACACGGGCGCCCCACCCCTTCTGTTTCGGTGCCGGCCTCCAGCCACCGTGCCCTGGGCTGAGGTGGTTCTCTGGCTGCCAGACCATGAGCTTCTGGCACATCAGACGGCGCTGCGACATTTGGTAGCTAACTGAACACTAGATTCATCATCTGAAGGAAAGTCTTCCAAATTCTCTCGATCGACCCAGTTTCCAGGTGACAAAGACCTTGCCTGAGTGACCCTTCGATGTGCGACATGGCTCCGTTGCCCCTTGCAGGCGCCGTGCGCCTCAGAACACGTTGTCCCACGGCCGTGTACTCCGCACACTGTACCCCCGTGTCCTTGTCTTCCTGCAGAACGGGCTCATGGGAAACTCCTCATTCATTTCACCTGGCTCTGACTTCTTATGCCTTCCATAGTGTATGCTTTTAAAAACACCTATGTTTTTATTGATTTTTTAGAGAGAGAGGGACAGAGATGGAAACATTCATGAGAAACACTGATCAGCTGCCTCCTGCACGCCCCACACTGGGGATCGAGCCTGCAACCCGGGCACGTGCCCTGACCCGGAACCCAACTGTGACCTCCTGGTTCATAGGTTGACGCTCAATCCGAGCCACACTGACCAAGCCTATACGTGTGCTCTGTGCCGTATCTAATGTAACGTGCATAGCTTCAGAACCCTCAGCTATTCCTGCATCTCGTCACTGGGCGTGCACCTGGTCACCATCGCCATCGGCGGGACAGACACACGAGGAGCTCCTGACACCACCTCCTCAGGGCCTTTACCAAAACCCCCAGGAGGAGCGGGGGTCGAGGGGCCTGGAAATCCACAGTCCGACCCTGAGCTGGGGGCAACCAGCTGGGGAGTCAAACCTCAGCCATTTCCTCTAAAGGGGGACAAATTCACTTTCTCCTCGTTTCCTCCCAGACAATAGAGGGGTAGAAAGAAAATGATATAAAACCAGAGAAATAGACAAATTTTACTCCTTAGACTTCGTTTCTCCAAGAAACACATATGCTCACTAGGAAACGAAGTTTATTTATCACGTACACAAGTTGTGTCTGACATCTGAGAAAATGTTATTTACATAAAACACCATAGATTAAAACATACAGTATTTGTATTTTAACACGATAGGGTCCCAGGGCTCAAACAGGACGTCTGCATCACAGCTATTTGCTCTGCCACCAAGAACCGTCGTGGCGGTAACGGGCACGTCTGTTCTGAGTCTCTGCGCACAGCTCACACGGGGGAGGAAGACGCGGCGGCCCTGCACTCATGCCCACGCCGTGGCCGCCGCCTCCGGATCCTCGCCCGCCGCCTCCTCAGAGTCAGATCCCTCGCTGTCCGGCGATTCGAAGCTCTCCAGAGCGTCTCCTTTCAGCCGCTTTTAAAGAATGAGCCGTGTTTGTTATAAAAACTTTAAAGCCCAAGCCCCTGATCCAGCGGCGGTATGTGGCCCTCGGTGTGGCAACGAGGTCGCTGCAGACTGTCTCCGCTGAACCCGCTCACACCCGGGCCTGCCAGTCTCCCCCGCGCTGATCACACGCAGCCACGTCACGTGGCTGACTGACCCGCTCCCTTGGAAGGCACTGACTCTTCAACGGACGAGCCCTCCTCTAAGGCGGGGAGCCCGCTGGGGACCACACTCCGCAGCCAAGGCAGCCATGACAGCATCGCCAGGTGAGAAACTCAAACGTTAAAGTCTGTCAGGGCCCGAACATGCGAGCAATTCAGTACAAAAAAGGGTTTCACTTGGAAATCTTCCATCCCATCAGCAAGATGCCTTTTTGTAAACAACATTAAGTTGTAAAACTTGGGTTTTCGGCTAAGCCTGGCAATGGAACAGGCACAAGGCCAATCCTTACAAACACGTTCCTTCCCAATTTTAAACAAAGTCAGATGAGCCCCACCCTTCCCGGCGCACAAGGAGCAGCTTTACGAACACAGGAAGGTCACGCTGGCACGAACGTTAAATGTAAACTGTCTAAGACGCGTCGGCTGTGAAAGAGAAGCCTTTTCCCTACTTTCTCAGCGGAGACACCGCTCAGCGTCCATCTACTGAAACTCGTTCTCATAACAACCTACAGAGCAGGGCCAGTGACCCCGCTTTATCGCTGAGGACAGCGAAGACCCCACAGCACCAATTCGCTGCTTACTCACAACCTTCACGTCCCGGGTGGGGAGCTAGGACCCCGGAGTCCGAGTCCAGAGCCCATAGGTCCTCGCGCTCGGCTCGGCGGGACACTCACCTCCAGAACCTCCGCCATGTGCTGCACGTGCTCCGCCACCTCCGCCAGCTCCCGGTTCTCCCTCTGCAGGCGGGCGATCTCACTCGTCTTCTGCTCGATCTCTCTGTGGAGCTGTGGCGTGGGTCAGCTCAGCGTTCCTCGCCTCCCGCCGCACACCCCGCAGGCCTCCCAGGTGTGACTGGCACACCTGCACAGTCCCAGCAGAGGGGCCATCGCTGGCACCCACCACTTAAGCTTCTTTGGGTAAAATAATCCTAACAGCCGCCGCATTAAACTTTCCTTAGGCCCAAATGAAAGCCCGTTTACACTGCTCCAGCCAAGTGCGCTAAGCAGTGAGGGGAATATTAAAATGCACAACGGCACCAGTTCTACTCAGCCTCACCTTCTCGTTCTCCTTCAGCGCTTCATAGAGAGCCTTCCGCCGCTGCTCCGCCACTTCCTTCCAGTACTGAGAGGACGGGTTTTCTAAAAAACCAATGTTTTACATGAAACTCGGAAAGCCACTCCTGTTCTGGCTGCGGTGACATCCCCAGCATCCTCCTTTCTATTTAAAAAGCAATTTGCAGTCTTAGTACCACCATATCACTTGGCAATACCCCTTTCCTAAATCTGAAGTTAGAAAACCCAGTTAACTTTGTTCTATTTTATTTCCCCGACATTTTAGGGATTCTCACACATCCCACTGAGGGTCTGTAGAGAGTTGTGTGCTCAGGTGACGTCGACTGGCATGTGTCATCTCTGTGGTGACATTACAATGTGGCACAGTCGGTTCTGTATGTGACTGCAGTGTTTTTGCCACCAAATCTCAGCCACGTCAGACATGAGTGTCACAAACCCTACAGTTCACCCCACAACAGGACTGGAGAGAGGGCTGCTGTACTTCTCTGCAGCCACCCTTTCCTGATTTGCCTGATAAACCCTACAGCCTACGATCCCTTTCCTTGCTGTCCTCCGGCAGCTCAGAATGAGCCCAACGGACTCCATGACCTTGAGTAAGTCAATTAACTTCTCTAAGTCTCCAATTTTTCATCAATAACAACATCAATGACCTTCCATGATGCTTAAAAACCATTGCCAGCTTCCTCTTACGGTGCCGCCTGCTATTCCATTAAAAACTTGCATTTAGCCCTGACCGGTTTGGCTCAGTGGATAGAGCGTCGGCCTGCGGACTCAAGGGTCCCAGGTTCAATTCCGGTCAAGGGCATGTACCTTGGTTGTGGGCACATCCCCAATGAGGGGTGTGCAGGAGGCAGCTGATCGATGTTTCTCTCTCATCAATGTTTCTACTAACTCTATCCCTCTCCCTTCCTCTCTGTAAAACACACACACACACACACACACACACAAACTTGCATTTATTCCCGCCCGGCGGCTCCCGTCCTCACTCCCTTGACTTCTGCCAGGCTCCTGCGGGCTCCCTCCCGGCACATTCACACTCCTTTCTTCAAACTCAGTCTCTAGACACTTTTTCCCCGAAAAGACTACATCTGCCTTGGCAATCCCATATCCAGCTGACATGTTAACCACTATCCTTCCCTTTAATATTCCATCCATATCTGGATCTTACAAAACAGCAAGACTTGTCCACGTTTGGTGCCGGTATTTTTAACCATAAGGAACGTTAGGGTGTCGAGCATCACAGTGAACTAGTATGTGGCCAGCCCAGAGGCCGTGGGCAGAGTCCCTAACAGGAGGAGGTAACAGTGACCTGTACTCCAAGGACAGTGTCTGTGATAAAGGCTATCTCATCTCACACTTGCCTCCTACCTGCAGCCATGAGGTCCAGTGCCTCCGGGGTAACTCCTCCGAGCTCCTTGCTCTCACCGTGCTCCGGGGCCGCAGTGGCTCCAGAGCCGCAAGTCTTAGACGCCGACTGGTCACTGCGATGTTTCGGTTTGAATGAGCCTTTAACCAGCTGCCATGGAAATCCACACGTCAATCTCATTTGTTTTTCTCTAAGAAGCAAGAAAGCTGGGTGCACCTGGGAACCAGCGCAGGCCCGGCTTCTGAAGGTGTGTGTTTAGAAGAAGGAAGAATCGCAGGGTAAGCCATGCACTGCTCGAGTCCAGAGCAGCGGTTCTCCGCCTGGGGGTCGCGACCCCTTTGGGGGTCGAACAGCCCTTTCACAGGGGTCACCTAAGACCATCCTGCATATCAGATATTTACATGACGATTCATAACTGTAGCAACATTACAGTGATGAAGTAGCAACGAAAATAATGTTATGGTTGGGGGTCACCACAACATGAGGAGCTGTATTTAAAGGGCCAGAAGGTTGAGAACCACTGGTCCCGAGAAAAGAGGGAAAGCAGGGAGGAGGAAGAGCCACTGGCGAAAGAAGAAATTAAGGATATCAAAAGAAAGAAACAAGTCAAAGGTGATATGGAACCACAATATAAATATGTAGAAATTTCTGAAGAATATGAAATTTGCCAAGAAATTTTTTGAAAGCTCAGTGGTCTTATTTATGTGTTAAAAATGGAGCCGCATCTGTTTGTGTCTTTCTGACATCTTTGGATCTTCTTTAAAAAATCATACAGTTTAAAACTCCCCCAAAATGTAAAGGTCTGTTTTGGGAATTTTATTTGCAGCAACTGTTTGGAATTAGAGCTGGATCTAAGGCTAAACTGAAATTTATTTTTATTGTTTAAATAATTCAGTTCCATAGAAAGGTAGTATTTTCTACCTGCAAAAGTCTAGACACTTTCAACAATGATTTCATCATTTACATACAGAAGTAAATGAAGGGTCCACCATTTTATTCTCAAAATAGGCGGCATTCCCCCTGTAGCTGATGACGTGTTCTATCATCTCAGTTCTACCAGTATTATACCAGCATCCTATTCATACCAACGTCAAACTTCCTCAATTGATCATTTAAAACAAAAGCCACTTCTGTGGGGAGTACACAATTGTTATTCTTAAACTCCTGCCCAATTTCAATGACTTGGGTATTTCTAACCAAGGAAACCTTGCAAATGGTTTTCATGCACAGGTTCTGGCCCCGGAACACATACCTCGTTCTCTCTGCCCACGAGGGGCCCGGCTGTGGACGGCTGGATCATCTTCAGGGTCCTCCTCGGGACAGGACTGCTCTAGAGTCAAGAGAATTCGTTATGGGTCCTGAGCGCTGCAGGGACTGTGACTGCCTTAGCCTCCTACGCTAACCAAAAAGGAACACAGGAACACAGGCAGGATGGGCAGAAACAGGGTCACAGCTGTGAGTACGCGAACCCCAGTTTGTTCTTGTGTTATCATGACTGAGTATTGTATTATTTTCTATATGAACAGCTGTAAACCTACGTTGGCCCCACCCTGAATTTGGTCTGCTAGGTAATTTTGCAATGCTAGGTATGAACAAGACATCGGCTTAACCAACTAGTAAACTTATTTCCCTAAAATTATAATAAAGTTTGAAGAAATTCTAAGAATGCATCGTATCACCCAAACTTAACACATTTATGGTAGAAACCCAGAAAACAGGAAAATTGGGGGGAAAAGAGTAATTGTTCACACTGCAAAATACTTCTCCCCCTAATCGACAGGATTTGTCTCGGGCTTCCTTGGCATCATGACTGTCCGCGAACATCCCCACGTGCTCACCAAAGGAACAGAGTGTGGGACCATCCTCACACACAGCCACACGCATGTACAGGATCCCTGCCCTGCCTGTGGGAGCAGTCTGCCTGGAGCCCGTCCATCAGGAGACAGCTGAAATTCAGCGCCTGGGGCACTGTAATTACTGCAAAGGGCCCAGCAGTTGTTTGGGGAAAATATGGCCTTCCTGGTAATATGTAAATACCTTCCCGTACATTTCCTGATCCCAGAGCTCTCTCTAGTTTTGCAAAAAATCATTAGTTATTCTGCCACCACGGGATAGCAAACAATGGTGGTACTCAAACAAGGTCAGTGGAGGACACCGGAGCAGCGTGAGAACGGGCGCCCGCAGGCGCGAGCTCACCTTTCCCACGGTCAGGTTTCCCTGCGGATGATTATCTCCCCATTGAACTGAAGAACCAATGCCAGCGACGGTGAGAACAAACACCCCCCCAACATTTCAGATATAATTTAGATTAGCCCAGTCTCCAAATACTAGGAGAAGCAAACACAACTCCGGAACCTGCATAACAGGAGGGTTTATTTAAGTGCTTGCTACTAACAATGACCAAAGAAGCCACAATTTACTGTCACACAAAAAGGCAATTCCCAAGACTTAACTTTTATAATGTAAGCTCTATAGCATCTTATCGTTTCCTTTATACGGATTATGCATTGGAATGATAGGCTCATTACAGCCAAAAAGGTTCTTGTATATTATGGGTCTTAGTCTTTTTAGAGAACAACTTGAGATTCTGTGAACCTCTTTAAAAAAATCTTTTTTATTGATTTCAGAGAGGAAGGGAGAGGGAGAGACAGAAACATCAACGATGGCAGAGAATCACTGATCGGCTGCCTCCTGCACGCCCCCTACAGGGGATCCAGCCCACAACCTGGGCCTGCCGCCTTGGCTGGAATCCAACCCAGGACCCTTCAGTCCACAGGCCGATGTTCTATCCACTGAGCACACCAGCCAGGGCTCTGTAAACCTCTTTAAAAACACACACACCCACAAGAGCACACACACAAAATTTTGCATATAATTACCAAGGAATCTATAGTAGAAATAGCAATAATAAGCATCCTGTTTACAAAAAATCCTAAGGAATCTAGTGGAAACTATAAGAACTGAACAAGTTCAGCAAGGTTGTGGGATTCAAGATCAAGGCACAAAAAAATCAATAGTATTTCTCTATGGGAACAATGAGTACATGAAAATTTACCTAAGGAAACAACTCCATCTACAACAACATTAAAAATAACATATTTAGGGAAAAAACAACGAAAGGCGTGTAAAACTCAATACTCGGGAAACGACAATGCACTGTTGAAAGAAAGTAAAGACTTAACTAAACGGGAAGATCAGAAAATTTAATATTCAGCCATAATTAATTCTTTAATGGTTCTCTGCTGTCACTTTTCCTCTGGCCAAAACTCAGTAATTTAAGATTTATGGAAACAACAGCCGGGTTAAACTTGGCCGAATTACGTCAAAACACTTCCACGCACTTGCTCTCCACCCACCCAGACGAAAGCGATCCCGTCACTTACCTGCACGCGCCCATGGGTGCCTTCCTGCTTCTGCTTCATACTGGGGTTCATTGTGCACCTGGGGAAGGAGGAGCGGTCACCAACAGCAGAGGGAGGCCGCCGGGGCGGGGCCTGCGCCTCCGCTGGGGCTGGGGGAGGGTCTTAGCCCTGCCAGTGACCCTTGACATCTGTACTTTATATAAACACACCCAACAATTCTGGTTAGAAAAAGCTTGTTGCAAAAGGAAAAATATAGAAAAAAAAATGGAAAAATATAAATGCAGAGTCTTAACCAATGTACAAAACATGCCGGTGTCCTGGCTGAGGGGCGGGGGGTGTCCTGGCTGAGGGGCGGGGGTGTCCTGGCTGAGGGGCGGGGGTGTCCTGGCTGAGGGGCGGGGGGTGTCCTGGCTGAGGGGCGGGGGGTGTCCTGGCTGAGGGGCGGGGGTGTCCTGGCTGAGGGGCGGGGGGTGTCCTGGCTGAGGGACGGGGGGTGTCCTGGCTGAGGGGCGGGGGGTGTCCTGGCTGAGGGGCGGGGGGTGTCCTGGCTGAGGGGCGGGGGGTGTCCTGGCTGAGGGGCGGGGGGTGTTCGGGCTGAGGGGCAGGGGAAAGATCTGTGAAAGGCCACAGGGAAGGCGCAGCAGATCCCGGGGTGTGCCCGCCTCAGTGCTGGAGAACAGCACCCCAACCTCGCCCTTTCCCAGGCGGACGGGCTGTGATAAACCCGGCAGTGACCTGGGAGGGGCTTAACATCCATCCGCTGGGACGACGCCCTCACATTGTGGGACATGTTTCCGCACCATCAGGAGCTGAGACGCGGGTAAGTGCAGAGGCTAAGCACCCACTGCGTCGGACTGACACCCATGTTTGGCCCCAGGCACGTGTCTGGGGACCATCTGCCGAGTTGCGGCCATGCCTCTACTCCGTCCGGGGCGCCACTGTGACTGTATGACCCATCGCCCTGGGACCCCGCAGTCATCCAGGGAGTCACCAACGTCGTTTAGGGAAAAAAGTGATCGGAACGGAACTGAAAATACGCGAAAACGCGCGAGTGCATGGCCCGTGGGGAGCCGGCCCAGCTTCGGGAATGTGATGGAGCTGGACGGCGGCGATGTACCATGTGCTTTCGTCCGCGTCGCATTACAAATGCTGACAGCCACCGCTCCGGGAAGGTCAGCCCTGCACCTGCGCGCGGTCTGCAGCCGGGCGCCCCGCACTCGCGCTCCAGTTCTTTTCAACGGAAGACACCAGCCCGGGCCTGGCTCCAAATGACAGGCTGACACTCCGGGGAACCGGTGTCACCAGCGCCATGCCGCGGCGTAACGAGGGGCCAGGATTCAGCGACCTTCCCCTCGAGCCCGGGGTGCGGCCCCCACGCCCCTCGCCCGGACACCGCCAGTCCCTGCTCCGGGGGCGGACGTCCCACTTCCCCACCCGCCAGGCGCGGGGCAGAATCAGGCACCTCGCCAGCCACTCCGCCTCCCCACCCCGACCAGCAGGGGGCGCAGCACTCCAACCGAGAACGCCAGCCAGCCAATAGGGAGCGCGGACAGGGAACGCGCCAAAATCGGCCCAGCCAATGGGGCGGCCCGGCGGCTCACCGACTGCCCCGCCCGCCCCCGTTCCAAAACTCACTTACCGCGACCCTGCGGAGTCACGGGAGGACCGATGCCGGCGGGCGACAGCCCCCGCGTAAACCTCCTGCCACCTCCGCTCACTCGTTGGAAAGAACTGTTCGGTCCTGGCCGCGCCGCCCCGCCCAGAACCCGCCTCGCCGCGCCGGCCCCACCTCCGCCCCGCAGCTGACGCGCGCTGCTCCAAAAGCTCGCCAACGCCGCCCCGACGGCCACGTGACCTGCCCGAGGGGTGTGGCTTCCCGAATCCAGCCAATCGCCGCCCGCCTTTGGCCCCGCCCCTGCCTGCGCCTGCGCCTGCGCGACGGTCGCGGCGTAGTCCCGCGTCCTGACCTCCGACCCCGCTCGCAGCGGGAAGAACCGCTTCCACTGCCGCCACCGCCGGAGGATGGCGAGCTGCACGTGCAGCGCACGACTCCTCGTGGTCTGTGCGGCCCTGGCCCCGCGGCTCCCTGATGTGGGCAGAGCCTTCACATTCGGGATTTTTGCATTTTGACCCTTAGGGTTCAGGAGGCGCTCGGGTCCCACGTGGGTTCCCGCTGCCCTGCAACTCGGGGCGACGAGACCTCAGCCCCGCGCGCGGCCAGCTTTCCTTATTGCCCCCCCAAGTCCTCACATCGTGGTCTTTGTGGGTGCGGTGCCCGGGCCCGCCTGCTGCAGGTGCCGCCGAAGCTGCGTCCCGCCTCTCAACGCCTCTTGTCCTCAGAGCGAGGGAAGGGCTCCCTCCGCGCGGCACCGCCCTGACCCTGGCGCCCGCGGCCGCCTCCCCCCTCCCCGGACCTCTGGCGGCTGGAAATGTGCCAAGCACAGTCGGGTGGCGCTGACTGTTTGAGGGGACGGTGGCACATGAAGTCTAAATGCGTAAAGGACTCAGCCCCCGCGCTGGAAACCATCAGGAGACTTGGTTTTCGGAGTGAGAATGGTGACAAGGACAGGCACGTGTCCCTTGGCTTTAAAACACCCGCGGCCTCTGACTCACTGCCCGTGTCTTCGGTCAGCGCGTGGTTCAAAGGCCCCCGAACGGCCGGCTGGGAGCCTGCAGGTCCACAGTCCACAAAGTTCCGCGAGGCCTGCGGGCGGCTCGGGAGCCACCACCTAGGAACCCGGAGGGCGCGGGCCCGGCTGCGGGCTGGATCCCCAGCAGGGGGCGCGCAGGAGGCAGCCGGTCAAGGATTCTCATCATTGATGGTTCTCTTTCTCCCTCCCTTCCTCTCTGAAATCATTTAAAATATATATATATATATATATAAAGTTACATTCAAGTACACTGCGCTGGGTAACGTATAAAGCACAGTTCATAGTGATGTTTGTTTCCAGAACTGAAAAGCTGGGAGAGAAAATGTGAAAATGGTGAGCACGCGGAGGGTAGAATCTACCTGTTACTGTAGTTAAAAACCCGCAGAGCTGGGGGAGCACTGGCGACTTTCCAGGGGTGTCATGGAGCCCACTTGGTCAGACGTCATCCGTCCCTGCTCATCGTGTGGTCCGTTTGGAATGGTGTGGGGACTTCATGCATGTCGGTGTGTTGGACTTTTTTTATTTCAACATCCGGAAGGAGATGATGCCTAGTTTAGGGGAAATCGTGAAGGCCCAGAGCCGGCGACAACCCTATCACCAGTTTAGGTCAGGTCCCTCCGGCTCTCCTGCTACATGGCCAGCTGGTATGTGTGGCACCCGAATGCAGACTGTACCTGCGCCAACCAGGTGGGGGCACCAGCCCGTCATGGCTATTGAGCAGGAGTGGACGAGTCGCCTGAGGTGTGTTGTGTTTTGTTTCATCCACAACCGGAAGGTATTTTCCCATTGATTTTTAGAGAGAGGGAATGACAGAGAGAAACATGGATGTGAGAGAAACACATCGATTGGTTGCCTCCTGCAGGAGCCCAGACCAGGGCCTGCAACCGAGGTGCGTACTCTTGATCGGAATCGAACCCGGGACCCTTCGGTCTGCAGGCCGATGCTCTATCCACTGAGCCAACCGGCTAGGGCTGGCCTGAGGTTTTGAGGGCTCTTCTTCCCTGGGTTCGCCTCAGCACCTGTCCTCAGAACAGAGCATCTGCCGGGGCAGGTGCTGACACTCACTGTGAGGAGGCCCACCTGGGAGGAGGTCCCGTCCCCGCCCCCTTTCCCTGGTTCTTTTCGCCTCTGGCCTTGGGCAGCAGCCTGATGTCTGGCAAATGGCACAACCACAAGCATTTTCCTGGAAAGTGTTGCGCTTGCGACTGCCTTGCGCAGAGGGCCCGGGCTTGCCAAGAGCAGGGCTGGGGGAAGGAATGCCCTTGAGCAGAAGAGCCAGAAGGGATCCCGGTCGGGACAGTGCAGACTGAGGACTGCGGGTCCCTGTGCCACGCGCACAGACATTTCTCTGTTGTGACTTCTGCGAGGGAGGGAGGCACACTGTTAACAGCTCTGTAAACCAAGGGCTGGGAGCCTTCCTGTGGAGGGACAGAGAGTAGATAGGTCAGGCTTTCCCGGTTGTATAGGGTTTGTTTTCACAGCCCCTAAAACTATAAGAGCCATTGTTAGCCTCTCTCTCCATCTTTTGCTGACCTTCATTCTACAAAGTTGACATTCTTTTTTTTTCCCTTTTTTATTATCCATAGTTGACATTCTTAGGCTGAAGAGAAAAGGGGATCAATCTAAGTTGCTTCTCCCCATTCCAAGAAACGCTATTTTCTTGTAAGAGACTTGATAAACAATCTTGAAACGGGTGCATGAAAGGATCATTTTTCTCTCTTCCTGAGTGGCAAAGAGAAGTGAGTTCTGTGTGCAAGCCAAGAACTACGCAACCGGCTTATGAGGGAGCCACGGCCGTGCCCTCAGGTGACCGGAGGACAGGGGAGGAACTAGGACTGGGACATCTGGCCCTCTCAGGAGGAGGGATGGTGCAGTTGGTGAGGTCTAAGGGTGGGGTCAGGACCCCGTGCACAAGGAAAATGCGGGTCTTGTCTTAAAAATGGTGAATAATTTCGAGATGGTGACAGCAGAGCAGTAAAGCAGCCCAGGCCCTTCCAGCCACACTAGGAGGCACATTCTCCAAGCAGGCCCGGCCCCGCCCCACCCAGGGAAGTTCTCTAGGCAGGCGCGCAGGACACAGCCACTGACAGGCCATACACCAGGCACTGCCTCGCCTCTGCCTCTGCAGGACACAGTTTAGGCTCGGGCAGCGGGAGTCAGCACCGCCGAGAGTGCAGTGCGTGTTGACAGATCAGAGAAAAAAGGTGCCGACCTGCCCAAGGGCACAAGGAAGGGACTGGAGAGAAGAGCGCCTGCAGGGAGCTCTGCCTCTCAGTTCAGGATCCAGGGGGATTAATGGCACCTCCTCTGGGAGGGGACCCGGGGCTGCTGAGAGGGACTTCCTTCCGTCCCCGCACCCTGCCCTGGGGGAAAGGGCTTTTCAAAGTAACCTCTGAATTGAAAACGAAGCTGGAGAAGCGGCCTGCTCTGCTGCTTCCTGGAGTTAGAACCAGTGGGAAGAGGTGACAACCGGCAAGAAAAAGAACCAGTTTGTTTTCTTCATCTTCTCTGTGAAGCAATGGTTGGTCCTCTGGGGAGTTTTAACAAAGAGAAGATTGAAGCCCAATAGGAGAGGGTTAAGAGCATTGACACGGGACAGTGGGAACAGTGGACTTTGATGAGCTTGAATGCGGAGCCACACGTGGCTGCAACGGAAGCTCAGGACATGCGCCCTGCCTCTGGCTCTGTTGACCTCCAGCTGCCCCTCGTTCAGGACTGGCCTCGGGAAGTGGGACCTTGCAAATAAAGCCTTTCACATCCCGCCCCCCGTGCAACTCCCAGAAAGCTCATTTTCTGAAGATATTGCAAGAACCTTGCTCTTACGAGTGAGAGGGGAATTTAATTCTCCCGTAACACTCCTCTTTCCAACTTTACACACATTTAAGGTTTTCTGCAGGGTGAAATCTAACCACTGAGCTCCTGGCCTGGCCTGGTTTTTTGTTCATTTTTAAATTAAGTAAGAAAATTGGATCATTGAATCAAAATGCAGAAAATGTTAGCATGTAAGATTAGCATTAATAAGCAATGTATGTTTATTATTGGAAAAGAGATTTTAAAGAAAGGAATTAGTCTAAAGCAAGATAGTTTCCCTTTTTTCCTAAATATGGTAAAACTATAGATTTAACAGAAGTAAAACAACTGGTGTTACTAGGAAGTCGCAGATGTGTTGGTTTTGCTTTGTTGGCTTTTAAAAATAAAGCAGGTGTCCTTTTTATTTTCCATCCCATGTTGCATACTGAGGGCTTTCAAATAGCTAAAGGATCCTGAGCAGAATATTGTAATAATAAAATAATCTTCACGGGGCTTCTTCCTTATCAATTCGCTAACATAATTAAGGAAAGAAGAATGAATAGTTAAAAAGATGCACTCTTTTCTCTATCCACAACATCCCTGGTCTCTCCCTCTTCCTGTAAGGACACCGTCATGCTGGGTTCAGGCCCACCCTAATGAGCTCCTTGGACGTTAGTTTTGGACAATTGATATTGAGGGGTGGGTCCCAATTATTCTTTTGAATCAAGGTGAAAAGGTAATCTATTTTGATTTTACCAAGTGGAGAGCAGTAGGTGGGGACCCAATAGACTTCTAAAATGTTATCAGAGGGTAGCCCATGAGGAGACTCTAGGCTTTGCTTTTGTCCAGCTTTGGCTTTTGCTGATTTCCTAATAACATAGCCGCGTTTTCAGCAGCACATTGTAGCTCTAAAAAAAGGAAATGAAGGCTCTCTGGTGCCAGGGACCTGCGATCCGGTGGCAAAAGCCCCACAGTACCCTCCTCACATTTCCAGGACCTAGGCCAGCGGCCCGGGGGATCCTAATGGAAATACTGTTCTGAAGGGAAGGGGGGACCCACGCTGCGGGATGGGCTGTTTTCCTCCCAAATCGCGGCAGCAGCGCTCCAAGGCATCCTTGACCTTGTTCAGAGCTGGAGGGCCGCCTCGGCTGCTGCGCACGTGGCGCGGCGGGGACGGAGCCAGCGGGACCCGTACCCCGCCGCGCAGACATCGGACATGCATTCCCGGCTGGGGGCTGCAGGGAACCCCAAGACAGACACCCCGAAGGACTCCCCGTCGGCGGCTTCGGAGTAACAGCGTAACGAAAGGAAACGAGAATCGACCTCCAC